GGAATAAAAAATCTTTGAGCTCCATTTCTGGATAATTATCTTGACAGTATCAGTTCTCCATAAAATGATGATTTTCAAATGCTATCACACCATATATTATTCACATAGCTATGGGTGACATTGCTCATCTTCCAGAATTATATTTCTATTCTCAAATGTATTTTCCTATTATTCTCACCACTTTTTTATTTGCAACACTTTTCCTAGTTTATTTTTATCAATAATTACTCAACAATAAATAATGAAAAAAGTCTTGAATAAAATACCAACATATTTTATATTGAACTCGAAATATGAATATATAATGTGTGATTATTAAATTTACTTGCAGGTATTAAAATGATTTATTTGACTTATTAAATGTAATTTATAAAATTAAAAAGACCGGTTAAAATTCCACGAAGTACTCAAGTTAATTTACTAAAACTTTTTGACTAATTATTTTCATGTTTTTTTAATGTAATACAAGCATCAGGATGAATAAAGTATGGTTATTGGTTTTGGAGGAAAGGGGCTATGCGCGCGCTTAACCCGCTACCCTTGGATATCTTCTAGGGGTTGATGTCAGAGCACACTGCCATCACGTCCGTGCTTCGCGCGACCCGAAACCGAAAGACACGTTACAGCAATATACATTTGTCTAGCCAAAGAAATACCTGGATGCCACTAAAATCATGTGCTGAGACGGCACGTCAGGGACCACTTGAGTAAAGCGGAAACCAAATACAGCGGGACGGTAGGGACGGGACGCAAAAAAGCAGGACAAAGTCAGAAGTCGGATGAGGACACGAACGCGCGTACGGGAAGACTGGGAGGGAGGGATCAAACACTTGCGGGCAATGTGGTCCAGCGGAGGAGACGGAAGCGGGGAGGGGGCTTTGGGGCGATCGTGGGGAGCGGCGTGAGGTGGGATCAAGAGGGAAGCAGGGGGGGTGAAAAGGACCAAGAGATAGAAACAAGGAGGGAGGCGGAGGTGCGCTTGGGGGAGGCTAGGTGAATGGAGAAAAAACGGGCAGAAATGAACGCGAAATAGGCCGCGCGAAGCAGGACGAAGAAGTCGGCGGGGTGGGGAGAGACGATGCACGGACCGTAAGAGAGACGAGAGGGAAAGACCACCCGCTAGCGTTGAATGGCCATGTGAAGGAAACAACGGGTGGTTCCGGGGGAAAGAAGAAGGACAAGAAGGCCGACACGAAAAACGCAAGAGAAAAGCCAACAGCTGCGGGGAGAGAAAGATAGAAAACGAAACGGGGCGGACGGCGAAAGAGGACCAGAGCCGTGGGAAAGGGGCGAAAGGAAGGCGAACGGGCACCGGGACACCGCCGCGAGGCAAAGGCCCGGACGAAGGAGGTTTGATATACAGGGTGAGGCAGAGGCAAAAGGGACGCAGGCCGGGCCAAACACGCAGAAGGCGAGGAGAGGCAAGGGGACGGAGGGTCGGGGGGGAAAAGGCCCGACGGCATCGTGAGGGAGGGAGTGATAAAAGAGAGAAAAGACTTTGCAACGGGCTGCGCGGGGAGGTAGAGAGGGTAAAAAAGGGGCGTCGCTACAGGGGAGGAACACCTGGGGGCGGCAACAAACAGCAAGGCAGTGAAGCGAATATAGGAAGGGTAGGGCGGGGGGAAAATCAGAGGAACTGAATCGGTGAGGGGAACAGCCCGCTCCCCTTCAGGGAGGCTATCAACAAATAGGGACTGAACCAAACACGGACGAAACAGCGTAAAACACGGAAGACGAGGGGAGGGGGAACACGGGGAACGCCCGGGCCAAGTCGGAAGGGAAGGCAGAGGTTGCGGCAGCCGCACCGGGTACGACACACCGGCGAATGAAGTGGCGGTTGTAGGGCGGGCAAGGAAAAAGCATGGGCCAAAAAGCGGGGACGGTATGGGCACTGGACAGAGAGAGGGGGCCGGTGACCCGCGACCTCAAAGCAGATGCTCGCATTGTCTGATCCTGGCGCGTTACTTGTTCCGCCTTCGCCGACACCCTTCTCTCGCGCTCCGCCTACTGGCCTGGTTCCCTTCTCCACCGCGCGCGGGACACTCGCCTTACACCGATTTTCCGTCTCCCCCTTCCCCCCCCCGGGCTCCCTTTCCCCTGCCTAGCCGTCTCACCTAACCAATGTAATACTATGCAACCAATATAATTATATTGTAAAATATTTGTATGTCGCCATCTAATGACTATTAGACTAACGACAGTTTGTTAGTTAACGACGATTGCTTGACGATTAGATTGTTTATAGCAACGAGGGGAGAGTTTGTTTATCTCCAGTTTTTGACTTGAGTTGACCGCACGGATTCTTTCTTTTAATTAATTGCTGTCAATCTTTAATAAACATTTTTATTTATTTATTAATTTGCCGAAGTTGTTATTGGGTCTTATTTTACAATATATTAAAATTAAATTATCAGAAAACAATTCTTTCTTTTTAAATCATGGTGAGAGTTATCTTTATTAATAACAGCGGGGGAAGAGTGGAGCACAAAGGCAAGGTTCCTTGCAAAAGCTCTCGAAAAAAATGTATATACATATACTTAGTCATATAAAAATAACAATATAGTATGTATAATTACAGTTTCAGTTACTTATTAATATAAGACGAAATTAGCTTATCGTTCATTATTATAATTATCAACACTCTTCCCCTTAATGAAAATGCGATTAACATCAAGCATGAAAAACTTTCTTGTTAAAACGTTTAACACATCATGAATTTTAGGTATTTGCAACTTAATAAATAATTCTTAATATACTGAAGAGTTGGTATTTGTAAATGAATAAATTTTATCAAGAGAATAACTAAATGAAAAAAGATTCCCACGAATTGAAAGAGTAAAAAAATTACATTCCAATGAATTTAAATTCTCTCATAATCGCTAATCGAAGACTATATGGAATCATTTGGTCAAATGATGTGATAAACTATGTAAAATTATTAAAGTCCACTGAGGGTATTAAGGAAACTAATAAACACGAAAATTTATTTATTCACCCTCTTACTTAATGACAAAGTGCATTCTATTCGTAAATGATTTAGTATAAAATATCAAATGCAGTCAACGAGTGATTAGTCAAGATAAATACTGAAAAAATTAAACAAATTAAAAAAAAAAAACGAAGAAAATAATCTATTTTAAATATTGTTGATTTTTAGACTTAAATAATTGGCGTTTAATGATTTTAGGATTTTTAACTTCCCATTAGGAAATTATTGTAATTGGGTCGATTGGTGAAATTTGAATTTTGATCATATCTCCACGTTTTATGATATTTGCAAGCCTACTGACTAATTTTTAGAATGATGTGTGTACGTACGTATGTATGTATTTACGGACGTCAGCATTTTTTTCGTTTTTGATATCTTAAGAACAGATCAAGATATCAACTTTAACCAAAATTAATTCCAAAGATATTATTATAAAGAAGTCCTGAAAGCAATTTGAACGAATTCGATATAGCCGTTCTTTTTATAACAAAATAACTAATAAAAAAATGAAAAGATTACCTATTTAAAATACTTTTAAGCCAAACAATAACAATTTCATTTGAAAATGAAGTCAATATTGATTAGACATTATCGGTCACAACCAAATATGACTCTTAACAATTACGTATTGTTTATAACAATATGAATTTGTTATAAACAATTGAAAATTCTATTTATCGATTAACTGATGCGTATATCACATGGATTTGAATGTTTTCAACAAAATAATATGATTAATGATGAGATATGACTCGTAAAAATTACATAATGTTTATAACAATACGAATTTGTTATAAACAATTTAAAATTGTATTCATTGATTAAGTAATGTGTATATCACATGTATTTGGATGTTTTCAACAAACACTAATTACAACTATTTAAATTTGTTATAAACAATTACTAATGGGAAGTTCGTCGTGTTAGCACAGACAAAGTGTGCTCATACCTATTTTTTATTTGTAATTTCGTTATTGCCCTTATTTATGCTTGACGCACATTATTGTACCGCCCAGAAGGAGTAGAGAGGGTTGTTTTTGATGAGATCACTTTTATCAGTGTGCCTATTGGTCCTGTAATCAATTTTTTTTTTCTTAGTCCAATTTAGCCCCATGAACCTTGCTTCTTTTGTACTCCCGAAATTTGTATAGTATGGAAAAATGTTGATCTTTGGGAATGGTATAAACTATACATCTTCAATGGATCGAAGAAAAAAAAATCAAGATCGATTATTTGAAGCATCTAAAAGTTTTAATGAAAAAATCAGTCAAGTCATCAAAGAAAGGTAAAAATGGCAAACGCGCAAAAAGGTTAAATAATTTATAATAAAAAATGAATAAACAGATGAGCAAAGTGAAGGAATTGACCAAGATATTTTAAATTGCTGGAATCAAACAAGAGCCTTTCGTATGGAGGCAAAAGTACATTTTTGTACTTTATTTCAAAACAGCAAGTTTTTTACAAATATTGATCATCTGCAGGAAGTATTGCACGAAGATTTTCAATTTACACAAAAAAAAAGTTTCCCAGAAAACGACCTATCTGATTTAAAGGAAAAATTATCATGCCATATCATGTCGTTACATATCGAAGTACCAGATATTTTTCAGAACAATCAAAACAAATTGGATACATTGCAATCATCGAAAACAACCCTCTGCTTCTGGGCTGTACAATAATGTGCGCCAAGCATAAATAAAGATAATGACGAAATTACAAAAAATTCTAAAATCATTAAACGCCAATTATTTGAATCTAAAAATCAACAATATTTTAAATAAATTATTTTCTTCGGTAAAATTTTAAGAGACACGAAATTTTGAAAATATTAAAAATATTCAAGCTAATTAATAAACAGCACCGTATATCTTGATACCAATATTTACGGACCGTTGAAAACATTTTCCTCCAAAAGATGAAATTGGCAATAATCGTTCTGTCCAATAAAGCAGCATCGGGTTTCTTCGTGATGTTTCCCCTTCCATTAAGTGTTACGTGATGACAGAGTAGTAGAAGGTTTACCTACAGTTTATGTATTTACAAGCAAAGTGTAGGTTATATTAAATTAAAGAGATTCACGTGTTATTTACAAATCAATATAAATTTATTATTATAAATTAAATAAATTGAAATATTTAATTATTAATATTAATATTCACAGGTATTGATTTTTATAATCTTAAAAAATCAAAATTCAAAGTAAAAGACAATTAAATAATTTGAGGTAAGTTCAATATTATATGTAAATAAAATTTTTAATACTTCATTAATAATTCATTGAATAAAAATTGAAAAATTTGTAATTAAAGATGGATAAAGAAAAAATGGAACAAAGTTCTGACGAAAATTCAGATGAACCAATGGATGAAGAGATGAACGATAGCGATAATAATTCCGAGAAAGACACAATTGATGATGATACAGACGTATGCTCACAAAAATCAACACAAGACAATGAAATATTAACATTCGATTCCTCCGCTTATCGTATGTTTCATCGCGCTCAAACTGGAGCACCTTGTCTAAGCTTTGATGTAATAATTGATGATCTAGGATTATGTAGAGAAACTTATCCTTTGTCAATGTATTTAGTCTCAGGAACTCAAGCAGCTAAAGCACACCTTAATAATTTAATAATAATGAAAATGACCAATCTGACAGAAATAGAGAAAGAAGGAAGCAGTGATGAAGAATCTAGTGAGTCTGAAAGTGAAGATGATAATACTAAAGACCCGAAAATGAATGTAATTTCTATTCAGCATCACGGATGTGTTAATAGAATACGTTGTACAAAAGTAAATAATGTACCTCTTGTTGCAAGCTGGAGTGAATTGGGTAGAGTTAATATATGGAATATCGACAATCAAATGAAATCATTAGAAGATTCTAATGTTTCAATGCCACATAATAGAAAGAATAAATATAGATCAGAAAATTCAAAACCACTATTTACATTCAAAGGTCATTTAACGGAAGGATACGGGTTAGATTGGTGTACTGTAGAATCTGGCGTTCTTGCATCAGGTGATTGCAATGGTAATATTCACTTATGGCGCTACAATGAAGGCTCTTGGCATGTAGATCAAAAAGCTTATAATTCACATGCTCCTCATAGTGTAGAAGATCTTCAATGGTCACCAAATGAAAAAAATGTTTTAGCTTCCTGTTCAGCTGACAAATGGTATATTTATATTTTTATATATACTTTATTAATTACTCATATTGATTTTAAAAATTATAAAAATTTTCTTTCAGTATAAAAATCTGGGACATGAGAGTAAATCCCCAGTCAGCGTGTATGTTAACTGCAGAAAATACTCATGAAAGTGATGTAAATGTAATATCATGGAACAAAAAGGAAAGTTGCTTTATTGTATCTGGTGGAGACGACGGTGCTATTAAAATATGGGATCTTCGACAATTTGGTTCTGGAACTAGTAATGCTATTGCAACATTTAAACAACATACGGCTCCAGTCACAACAGTCGAGTGGCATCCTGATGATTCGACCGTTTTTGCATCTGGTGGAGCAGACGATCAAATTATTCAATGGGATCTTTCAATTGAAGTTGATGATTCTGAAACCATTGATCAAGAATTCAAAAAATTACCACCTCAATTATTATTTATTCATCAAGGGCAGTCTGATATCAAAGAACTTCACTGGCATCCTCAGTGTCCGGGTACAATCATTTCTACAGCTCATTCTGGTTTTAATATATTTCGTACCATTAGTGTATAAACTAAATAAAGAAAATATTTTCAAAAAATATCGGAATATTTTATTCATCCATGATATATTTAAGAGATAATAAATGTCTCATTGTTGGTCTTCCATGAGGACAATTCCATGGTCTTGATATTTGACTCATTTGTGTAATTATTCGATACATTTCTGAATGATTTAAAGCTGTACCTATCATCACTGCACTTCGACAAGCTCGCGATGCTAACATATCTCGTACTCTACTAGGTCTTAAAATTTTTTTATTTAAAACTTGATTTTTAATTCCATCAGAATCTCCTTCTTTTATTAGAAAAAGTAATTCTTCTATGTCTGTTTGGCCAAATTGCCAATTACCACTTACTGGTATTTCAACTAATTGAAGGCGTTTTCCTGACTCACCTATAACAAAAATTAGTAATAACAAATAAAAATATTAGTTAAGAATGAGATTAATTAATAACTTTTACCATCTTCATTAAATTTAATTGAGAATCCATTGGCTTCAAGTAAATCTTTATTTTCAATAGCTATTGACTCATTTAAAGCGGTTAAATTCAAAAGTTTAGGTGCTACCAATTTTTGAGTTTTCAATTTTGTTTGATTATTTAATTTTTCAAATTGAAATTTTTCATCAGATGCATGCTGATCAATTAAAAATAAATCACCTTCCAACCTAGCTATTATAAATCCTAAATTGAATTGTCCTATAGGTACCATCTGAAAATATCATAATCGTATTACTAAAAAGATTTTGTTATTACTTACATAAAAATAAATCAATACCTTAAGAAAACTTTCTCTAGTCAAATGTTTATTTAATTCTTCTTCCGCCGATGTATTATTAGCCATTTCTAAATCTACTTTAAATTTGACTTGATATTTTATGTTCTTTTTTTCTTTTTGTAATTTAAGTTTGGACTCAATTGCTTTCCGGATAGATTCTATACTAATTTTCATTTCAGAATCCGGTATCTTTTCTGGTAAATACAATTTAGATTTATTTCGATGTATTTTTGATGATGAAAATATTTGAGAATCATTTCTTTCCATGTCCTCAAAAAATTCTAAATCCATTAATTTTCTTTTGGTAGGTGGACTTGATTTCGTACTTGAAGTAGCATTTGTACTCGAAAAGTTACGTTTTAACGTACTTTGGAACTGAATTGAACCTGCTTCACTGAAAATTCCTTGCATTTTATCCCATTTTTTTGATAAACTAATTTTTATTGTAGCCAATACTAACTTTTCCTGAATGAGAAATATTGTTCGTTTATCAGGAGTTACATTAAAATCTGCTGCTTCTTGATTCAATTTTAAATTTAAATAAACAAATGGATATTGTTTATTATTATAGTTATGATATATGTTGTTAATTAATTTAGAAATTTTCGCTAGATTACATGGTCGACCATTAACAAAGAAAAATTGTCTATTCGATGAATTAAGACCCATATTGTGTTCACAGCTACTAGCATAAAACTCCCACGTAAAATTGACTTCATCTTTTTGAGATAAATTAAATTCTCGACGAGTATCTTCATCCAGAGATACTATTTCAATATTCTCAACACCATGAATTATTTTTTTTCCAAAAACAGAGACAGCATTTTCTAAAACGTTACCAGTTCCAGTTGTTGATACTACTACGTTATTAGATTTATTTTCAAGTACATTTGTACATAATATTTTAACTCCTACTGATACTAAACAATACCCATTTAATATATTAACAGCTTTTCCAAATTCTCTTTTAATGTTTTTTTCAAATTCTTTATATCTGACTGGAAGACTTTTGAAAAGATTTTGTACACATACTGTTGTACCTCTTTCACGTGCACATACTTCTTTTTTTTGCAAATTTCCGTTTTTATCAAATTGTAATTTATACGCATATTCATTGTTATCATGTTTTGTGGTAACAGTTAAATCTGACAAAGCACAAAGCGAACTTAAAGCTTCACCACGAAATCCAAATGTTGATACATCTTGAAGATCAACAAAATCACGTAGTTTGGATGTGTGATGTTTTAAACCTATAAAAATTTGAATGTATACAAAATTCATTTTGAATTTAAAATGTTATTTTTTACAAAAATACCAAGTCCTTCAAAGTCATCTTCTACGACACCACTTCCATTGTCAATTACAGTAATACTAGTTTTTCCGTAGTTTATTAATTTAACTGTAACTTGAGTAGCTCCACTATCAAGGCTATTTTCTACTAATTCTTTAATTGCACCAGCAAGATCGAGTACTACCTAAAAAATATATGAATATTCTTTAATTGAAACAATGATTACAACAATTCTCAATTATAAATTTTGATTATAACCATACCTGTCCAGAACAAATTTGATGAACGGTTTTCTTATCAATAGCAACAATTTTTTTAGATTTCGCGCTAGTTGCTACAGGTTCTATCAATTTGTCTTCTTCATTCATTTTTTAGATATTAATTTAATTTTTCTCTAAAATATCTCTTTATAAATTAACATTCAGCCATCATAATTCGATGCTCTTTATATACTTCAAAAAATAAGTACAGATATATCTATAAAACTAAATGATTGAGAAAACCCAAATTTATCCATTACTTTTGTTGTTTAAAATTATATTTAATTTCAACTTTCTGTTATGATGTAGTTAATCAAAAAAAATAGCGATGAAGAACATAAGCCAACGCTTTAACCAACGTTTTTATGAGACGTAACATGGACACATGCACGTATATAACATTACATTGTTTACAATTTTGAATAACCCGCGTTAGCAAATGGTTCATATAGCAAATTGCCCGTTTTGATGAAAACAGGATTTATAGTCATTTTTTACTCTTGAATTTTGGCCATCGTGGTTTTTACAATACCAACCCACCAGCTCTCGGAGCAAATCGGAGCAATTGAAGAATAATAATAATAACAATTTATATTTACATTTACATGTATTAAAAAAGAATTTGTAAACTTTTGGTTTTTTGGACCATTATTATTATTGACAATAATGGTCTTACAAGGGCTTATTATTTCTCGTTTTGTTCATACAACTTCAATCAAAAATGAAATAAGGAAATTAACAAGATTGCGTGTTGTAGACAATAGTGAAATTGGTAAGCAAGCTATGCTTGAAGGAAAACCTCCAAAATGTATCCACATTTATAACAAAAAAGGTGTTGGATTCATAGGTATTATTTATAATTTTCAATACTATTTTAGTATTTTGTTAAAAAAATCACTAATATCTATTTTTATGAAATAACAAATAGGAGACAAAGTTCTAGTTGCAATAAAAGGTGAAATGAAAAAAGGTATTCTTGTTGGATGCAAACAAGTACAAAATCCTAAAGTACCAAGATTTGACAGTAATAATGTTGTTTTAATTGATAACAATGGTACACCATTAGGCACACGTATTCATGTACCAATTCCAAATATTATTAGAACAATAATGAAAAAGAAAACTTATAGTAAAGGTGCTGACTACACAAAACTGCTTGCTATTACAACAAAATATGTATAAAAATTAGAAAATAATAAATTAATTTATAAGATATGATATAATTTCTTGTTAATCTTTAGTACTAATTAATTTTTTCATTATAATGCCCTGATAAATCGTAGTAAAAAAAAAAAAATGATAAATTTTCAATTATTTCTCAACAAGCATGTTTTGAATATAAATATGTATATATTATGACAGAATCAACTAATATTTGTACGTTATTATAAAAAAAAATTTAACAAAATTAGATAATGAAAAATAAGTAATTTATGAAATACATACCATCATAGCATATTCATTTTTTCTTATCTTTTTTTCAAATGTAAACAATCTGATTGTATTCCAAGATTTAATTGTGACATTAAACAGTAAATATATATTTAAATAAATATGATATTAGATAAGAATCATTTTAAATCAAGACATTTATTAGCTTCCATTATTTTTATTTATTTTATATTTAAACTCGGTTTTTATAGAAAATCAATGAATAAGCAATAATTTAATAATACATACTATTTACACAAGTATGTAAAATGTTGCATCAAGTATTTTCTTCTTTTTAATTTTCTTTGCTTCTTTTGAATTTAAGATTCGTAAAATAAAATCCCTCATTAAAATATTGCTAAATAAATAATAACTACTATATGTTAATTTTAATAATAATTAATATTAATAATGATGCATATCCATAAGAGTGATACAAAAGAAAAAAACAGTCCAAGAATATAATAGAACTTTTGATCCTCCAAATCTCGTCAGACATACCAGCATTATAATATTACTAAAGATCGTATATGAAGTTGGAGAAAATTCCAAATCCGTTAGCCCATGAAAATAATCTTCAAAATACCCGAATTGTTCACATACATCAAACATAAATCGTTCCACTAACTCAGGCACGCCTGGCTGTTAAAAATGAATGCATATTGTCGCTGCTGGTAAGACCAAGTCTTGACTTTGTTTTCGTTGCCTTGCTAAATGTATACCAATGTCAATACACTCACCAACTAATTACTTTTTTATTTAAGCTTTTTATAATTGAGTTTGTTTTTTTTAAATTTATTTACACTTTATTATTATTTTGAAATAATAAACAAATTATTTGTCTACCTAAATGCCTTTTAATCATTAGTACTTTTGTGTAAATTTTCTTTATAAATCTCAAATAATTATGTTCAGTTATTCTTTTTCTATTATTTTTGCACATTTATCAATCAATAATATTCTTCACCACCTTATTATATCATTTTCATTATGTCTTCTTTTTATACTTATTATGCTTGTTATAATTGTTCAAAAATAATATTCTACAGTCATCATGAATTTATATTTATTATTGTGTATTTTAAAAATACCGGTAATTATGATTAAGCGAATTTTAAATTATTCAAAAATCTTAGATGAATTATCACACATTGTCTTTTCTAACACTACTTGAGAAAAGTTGATAAGTAAGAAAAATCAGTGTCTTTAACAATTTTATTGAACGAGGTTTTCATCTAATGATGACTGAACGCAAAAAGTCCACTCATCAGATCTAGCTTCCTAAAGAGTAGTTTAAAAAAACTTAGATATATAAAGATTACATATGCACGCTAGTAACTTCTTGAAAAAAAAAAATTTTTTTTTAATATTGGTTATTATTTTTTTCTATGTGTATACAGTAATATGTTTATGATGTACAAATAATTATGTTGGAATTAGTCCCCAGCAACGACCAGAGTATGCCTAACTTTTTACAGTAAAAAACATAGCTCCTGTTCACATGTATATGTACGTAAATACGTACAAAAATATATACATACATTTAGTAACACATTTATTTACTTTAATGTTTGAGGATATTTTTGAATTATTATAAATTTATTTGTCTACCAGGGTAATAAACCTAATCGGAATAATTAAAGATTAAACTGTCATTAAAGTACATCGCATCCAATCAATTAATATAAGTTAAAGTTTATAGATTGATTTGGCTGAGAAACAAGTAAGTTTACTGACACTCGTTATATTCCAATGTACAACGATCATTTTTTGAATACTTGGACATATCCTCATGCATTTTTCTAATATTTGCGTTACTAAAATTACTTTGTATACATTTAGGATGGACAAATCTCACATAGTAACGATTTTTTAAAATTATTTTTCAAATTTTTTTTTATATATTTTTTTGTCATTTAATATTATTTTCCATATGATTAATTTTTCTGTAAATATTTTATTTACTTTGAATTAGCTAGGGAGAGTTTGAGAGGGAGGATCAAATATAATCTTTATGAATATTGGAAGAAAATCAAGGTAGTTGTCACTAAATATCATGCTGCTTTGCTCTCTTTTCTTTTCTTTTTTCTCTCTCTCACTCTCGCACTCTCTCTCTCTCTCTCTCTCTCTCTCTGTACTAAGAAAAAAATAGATAAAAGCCTGTTCCATTCAGTCTTCATATCCTATAAAAATTTATATCAACGTCTACTAGAATTTAATTGAATCATTTTCGTTTATGATCATAAAAAATGAAACTTCTGATTCTGATTATTTTCACGATATAATGAGGTTTATTTCACGATCATTTGCTTTTATTATTAATTTCATTATTTTTTCTCAACTATTATTGGTTTTTTTTGTCCAATTGATAATATGAAAAATCTAAACAATTTTACATTACAATCAAATATGCGATTATCAGATAGATTTGAAGGTAAAGGGAGTGAAGGATTCATATGTACCTATTAGTTCTAGTTCAATTGAATGATTAATAATATTATTACATGATATCATATAGCATTATAGAATTCAGTTGTTCTATTTTCTGATTTTTTCACATATTTTTTTCATCATGATTTACCCTTTAATATCTTAAAATTATAATAATATTAATAATAATAATGTTTGTGTCCATGTCATTGTGCGCACGCGCACGTAATTGGTGTAACAATAAGAGTTTAAAGGCATTATTATAACTAAAAAATAAGCCTTCAATAAGAGAACAACGTCAAGGAAAATTTAAAGAAAAAGCTTTGAAGGAATTTTATGAAAATGTGTATTGGGAATAAAGTAATTATGATGTAGGATAACCGAGATGTGACACTTCAGTAAAGATTAGTTGTACGAACTACTGTTGAGTAATTGCGTTTTTTAAATGTTTTCTTTTTTGATGTTGTTTAAAATAAAACGCTTATTAATATTATTTAGCATAATGTTCGTACAATCCTACCTAGTTCGAATTCTCAGCAGTAGCGTACACCACGCTAAACGGCTCATTACATACGTAAAGCGAGCGACACAAGTACAAGTCGTCTCCTACTTTCTGTCATCGTCACAATCACGGCTTATGTGACCACTTTTTCCGCAGACGTAGCAAATTTTGCCACCAGCTTCAGTACAATTACGTGCAATGTGACCTGTTTTGTTACAATTGTAACAACTTTGTCCGAAACGTCCAGTGTCATTCCCTTCAGGACAACTACGTGCAATATGGCCTGTTTTGTTACAGTTGTAGCAACTCAATTCAGGACCCTATTATTGATAACAAATAAATTTACATTTAAATTTTTCATTATGCGAAAAAATAAAATAATTCTTATTGTAAGAAAAAAGCTGTAAACCTGTTGACAATCTTTAGCAATGTGTCCAACTCCACTGCAACGATAACAAAGATCTTGATCTTCTTTGCATTCACGAGCAAAATGTCCAAATTGATTACATTTGAAACACTTCTCACGTCCTCTTGTACCAAATCCTCCATCTCTGTCTCTTCCACCACGGTCGCCTCTAGTGCCGCCAGTATTACCCTGAGGGCATTCCCGCGCGAAGTGGCCCATCCGGTTGCATTTGTAGCAGGCATTCGACGAACTCATTTTTTTATTTTATTAATCTATAAAATTAAAAAAAATATATTTTTATCACATTCCAATTTTTCGTTAATTAATTATTAAATAATCAATATTTAATTCTCCAACATATTATAAACTATTAGTGCATTCTTGGAAAAAGAAAACATGTTTATAATATTACAATCCAAATTATCAGTCAAGTTACCATATAAAAAGATAGTATTTTTTATATTATTGATTTCTTAATATGATAATAGTCATATAAAATAAGTAAATTAGACACTGAACTATTTTATTAAATAAATAAAATAAAGTATTAGATAATTTTATTGTTAGAATTGGTAAAATGGCATCTTCTAAAGATGCACAAAAAGAATAGAGGGTACACACGTGTTTTGAGTAAGAAGTTCTATAATGAATCGTGTTCTGTATTTAGACCACTACAATAAATCAAATCAAATCTGCGAAAAATCAATACTTTTACAAATTAAAGTAATAATAAATAAATATTAATAGTAACAATTAAATAATACGAATAAAAAAATTTAAGATAGTTGATTATTTTTAAGCAACGTGGCTTGCGCCCCCCTTATGATATTTAAGCACGTATATAACGCCACGGCGCGAAAATGGCAACCGGAGAGTGACGCCGCAACAATTTTTTTCTTTTTAGTCATATTTCAAAGAAAACATTTTTAGCTCTGCGCGTGGGTAAATAAGACTCTTGAAAAACTTTCTAATAGACAAAAAAAAATGTACAAATATCAATGATTATAAATAAAAAATCCATTTGGAGTAAATCAATATAAAATACGTATATACAGAGCTCGAAAGACCACGTGTAGAATTACACAGAGAGGGCCATGATTCTCCGGCTGTGAAACCGCTGCCGCTATCAATTCGTGTGTATCACTCAATTGTTGGTTTCACTAATTAGTTACCCACTCACCACTTGATATTCTGGAATTTATTCCTTAAATTCTTCCTCACTGCTCGCGGATAACACAAATTGTGTTAAGAAGATAAAGATTAACAAGATTCTTTTGTAAAAATTCAACTCGTTGTTAAACCGGACAGCTTCGGCGACCATCAACCCTGTAAACGAGAGCTACTAAAGCTACGGCTGCTAGAACCGGCCAATCGGTGCACCGCTGCCCGCCAAACCTACTGCACATGATGTAAACGTCACCACTTTCCTAACTTATACGACTTGAGTCAGTTGAAATTCTCTTTCCAAATATTATTTACAGTGTTTAATTCAAGTTTAAAGAGTTTAAGAATAACATTCAATATACAATTTTATTTTAATAAACTCAAAAAATATATTTCTATTCGTATCTCAGATTAAAAAAAAATTTTTCATCACAATCTTGATTATTGAAGAATGCTGATTGGTTCATAAATTGTTGCAGGATACGTTCAATTGATGTATGCTTCTTTGCAAATACAGAGTTGCCAAATAGTTGATGCTTATAAATTATTACTTGGCAACGTTGTAAATCTTAGTAGCAATATTATACATGTAAAAATCTTTTTGCAATATTTATTTAGATGATTAAGTTGTATTCAAATAATTGATTAATTTAATGGTATTTGAAAGAGGACTGAAAGTAGCGATGTCGTTAATAAAAAATTTTCTATGTGCTATGTATGTATGTACATGAAAAGTAATGTTAAAATTAAAAAAGATTAAATATAAATATGGTAAACGATATGTTTTGCGCAAACGTAGCAGCAGTTAATTTAAGAGAATTATACTCCAATTCTTATAAATTACATTTTTTTTTCTATGAGAGTTAATTAATTTCCACCTGGAAATTAGCAATTTTTCAATATAAAAATATTGAAGAGTTATTTATTTTTATTTTATTTTTCATAAAGAATTTTTTTAGAAATTATACGAGAGCGTTGCATGTATTTCAATTCAAAATAATAAATGAATGGCCCATCTACTATGTACACTTGGCTTCATTAATGCCTGGTGTATCCTTGGAGAGCAATTACCGACCGCAGGTATGATTTTTTTGACATTGAGTTTCTAATCTAGAATTTTTTAAGCTTGGGCTAAATTCCAAAAACTATAAACTTCGTGATTACATTCCAAATATGATATTTTAGAATGGAAAATAATTTTTTTTATTATGAGAACGATTGAAAGGTCTGCTGGAAATAATAACGATTAACAAAAATTTCTTAAGAAATTAATAAATTATAAATTTCTATCGTCATGTTTGCACGGCCATCTTAATTCCGAGACATGCAAAATAAATAAATAAGTACTCTTTTTTTAAGGAATTTCTGCTAAATGTTGTTAATTACGACAGAACTTTGTACCCTACTAATACGACAAAAAATTATATTATGTACATACTAAAACATCATATTTTTAATGTTATCTTAATTTTTATAGTTTTTTCAGTTCAGCCAAAGGTAAAAAAAATTCTAGATTGGAAGCTCAATGTAAAAGAAAATCATACTTGCAGTCGGTAATTGCTTTCCACGTCAATCATCGTCTGAATGCAGTTTTTATACCAACCAAGAATTTTGGTCTCAAAGATATGATACCGACAGTTCAATGTAAACAGTAAACAATGATTATAAATTCGACGTCGTTGTTATAATTTTATTAGTTTCATTAACGAAATATTTTATTCACATTATTAATATATTTAAAAATTTCAGTAGAAATCATTCAAAAATCAATCTCTTTTAATATATTTATATAATTACAATTTATTTTTTAAAGTTTAGTAATTAACTAAAAGGTAAGCATCAATGACTCTAGCATTCTATCATTGTTATCATTACATTATTATTACAATACCTTTTTTAAAACCTGTTACAGCTAATTTATAAACTCAACAATGGCTCAACAGTCTCCTCAAAAAATTCGAGAACTTCGATTACCAATTTCAAGAGTTAAAACAATCATGAAAAGTTCTCCTCACGTTGATTCTGTTGGCCAGGATGGATTATTTTTGGTAGCTAAAGCAACGGTAATTTTTAAAATTGATAACAGTAGTATTTAAAAATGATAATATGTTATTTTAATACTTTATTTATTTGAAATATACTTTTTCTTTAAGGAAATGTTCATTCATCATCTAACACTAGAAGCATATATTAAGGCTAATCGTGCTAGTAATTTAGACTATAAACACTTGGCAGAAGTAGTACAAACTAGTGAAACATTAGAATTCTTAAAAGAAATAATGCCACGAAAAATAACTGTGAGAAAATTTAAAGAATTAATGGCTGCTAAAGAAGCTGCTCAAAATAGCTCATCTGATAGTTCCGATTCTGATTCTGATAGTGACAGTGCCAGTCAAGGAGATTCTGAATCAGCATCTGGAAGTGATGATGAAAAAGAAAGTAGTAATAACCAAGATGATAATGTTAAAGACAGTGAAGATAATGCGCACAACAACGAGCCTTCGAATAGTGATAGCGAATCAGAAAATACTGTAAATGATAAACGAAGCCCGAGCACCAGCAACACAAGTACAAGTGAAAATGAAGATTAATGTACAAGTTTGAATTTTTTAATTGTATTTTTAAGATTTTTTATGTAATAAGATGCAAGCGATGCCTTTAAGTAAAAATGTTAAGTATTTATTTTTATGATAAAACATTTGTATGAATATTTATCATATTCAAAAAATAAAAATAATTTACATCAATAATTTTTAATGAAATTAATAATATACGTTAAATTAATTATTAAAGAAGTTGGCTTTATTCATGATATTTACATCTATAATATTTTATAGAAATTAAATTATTTCCAGAATATTAGATAGTAATTATTCTTGATGTAATTTAGAGCTCAATGGTGGTCGTGGTGGTGTTACTTCATCATAACCCTCGCTCAATTTTTTTGCCAAGAAATATATTTCAGCTAAAGCTACTATAAGACCGCATATGATACCCAGTAATAATCGAAAACCGAAATCAAGATTTCCAACAATCAATTCAATACCAATAAATCCAAAAGCAAATGCTGCGATCACGGAAAAAATAAATTGAGCCACAGCTATCAGTTGCTTATTAATTTCCTTCACTAGAAAATTAAAATTATTTATTAAACATCAAAAAATATTTATTAACGATATATTCTGCACAAAAATAACATATATTCACCTACTTTGATAAGCAATAGTGTCTTCAGGAAATCTTTTTCTTCCAGGATCAATCTCCTTTGTCATGGCCCGATATTCTCTAGTATTTTGTTCTGCTGTTAGCTTTTGTATTCTTGCTTCTAATTCAGGACTTCTTGGTGTAATCTTTGGTGATGGTAGATTTAATTCTATATTTTGCAATAGTTCATGCAAATATATTTTTGTGTCGGAATTCTTTCTATATTCTATTAAATAATTATTCAACCATTTAATATCTTTTAATTTAAGTAGATCTACATTCTTAGATTTTTTCAATAATTTGATATTCTCTGGAATATTTTGACCATTCACTTTTTTCTTTATAAACTCAGTAAGTTTTCGTGTTGGTTTAATATTCACAGATGGATCATCAATTTGTTCCACTGGCATAGTAAATTTTTTATAAATAATGAAAAATTTTGAAAATAATTTTAATTCTATTGATAAATTATTTAAAATATAAATGAATAAGGTTGAATGTTTATTTAAGGATTTATATGAAGTTTCTTCTCTAAATCTATATAGAATTCTTTGAGTTCTGCTTCTTTTTCATCAAATGTTTCATCCACTTTCTTACACTTTTCGCTTATATCATTAATGAATCTTTTCCATTCCTCTTTGCGGATTTCTCTATTTTCTGCTAATTTACGTTCCTGAAAATTCAAATTTATATTAAGTAAGAAAGAAATTATAAAATAACAAATTTCAATATGGTTTCTATAAGAATGCTTAATAAATTATATTATATTGATTAATTACAGTATCACAGTTCTCCTCTCTTTGTAAAATCCTTTCGCACATCGTTAACGCTACATCTGTATTAGCTTTTAGACTCGGTAGATGACAATCTCCAAGCTGTTCTGCTCTATCGATTTGATTTTGTTCAAGTTCTGTTGAATATTCAAGTATCTTGAATAATCTTTCCACTTCTCTATCACCTCGTCTATTCTGTATAATAATACAATTGTTAAGAATTGTTGATATTTATAAAAATTTTGAGGTCAAAAAATTTTAAAATTAATACCTGATATAATAAATTACCTCAAATTCTCGAACAAAATATAATATTTCACCATGAACAAACGGCCGGTGATCAAATAGTCTGCTCCATATCTCACCAATGTCTACAGAAGTAGATGCAAGTGAAATTAATTGAATTATAGATTGTAAAAATATACATCAAAATATTTTAAATATTATTTTTACAAAATATTATAAAATTAATGGATTTTTCCTTATTTTAAATCATTGCTTTAAAATCACACCTTTTATCACTGACGCCATGTTACTATAAGTTAGTTCATTGTACTAAAATCATATGATCACACCTATAAACCTACACACATACACGTGTACTAATACTTTTTAAGAAAATATTAAATATCAACATTTGTCATGTCCATTCTTTTTTAAATTTATGGAGTGTTTGTTTTATCCATCTTTTTACTTCGGTCTGTTAATTATTAGATAAACGTTATATCTAAATCATGAACTGTTTGAAAATTTTTAGGTGAATGAAAAATTTTTATTTTTTATCTACAAAAATATGTTTACAAATAATGATGTATTTTTTTTGGAAAAAGTAATTACATACATTAAATAGTCAATATACACAATGTAATATAATATACTTTTTAAATAAATATTATTCCATCATAGCTGTTGAATCGTCTTTATACTCACATTGCTCAATGATTCCTAATTGAAATTAAAATTTCATTATTTACTTATCTTTTTTAATTGAAATTGACATTAAATTTATTACGTACTTGTAACGAGTTTTTTAAACTCAATTATTGCAGGAGATTCAGGCATTTCTGTAAAAACATTTTTTCCTTCGTCACAACATCGTGCTAAGAGAGGATCTAAAGGAATTGACCCCAGAAATTCAACTTTCAAGTCTTTAGACATTTGCTGAGCACCACCTGTTAATGCTGGAAAGATCTCGGTGGAATTCTGAAAATATAAACGTGTATTTGAAAAAGCATAATAATAAAATAATATATTTGGATATCATTAAACGTCTTGAGATGATTGATTTGTTTACCTTACATTTAGGACACACAAAAGTACTCATATTTTCAATTACACCCAAAATAGGAATTTTTACTTTTCTACAAAAATCAATTTCTTTTCTAACGTCAAGTAACGAGACTTCTTGTGGAGTAGTGATAACAATAGCACCAGTGATTCCACTTGCTTTCAAATATGATGCAGCTGATAAATGTTCATCTGAAGTACCTGGAGGAGTATCTAAAATGAGATAATCTAAAGATCCCCAATCAACATCAGACAAGAATTGTCTAATCATTCCTGGAATCGTAAATAATTTTTATGGCTATTGTGAAATATTTATATTTTTTTGTCACTTTTATAAATATTAAGAAAGTAAACGTCATGTACCATTTTTCTTTGGTCCTCTCCATATAACAGCATCACTAGGACTTTCTAATAAAAATCCAATAGACATTAACGATAAATTATCTTCTACGTACTACAAAAAAAATTGTTTTATTAGAAAAATTAAGTGACACAGTAGACCATGTAGAACATTTTCATTTAATAAAATACATACAATTGGTGACCAACCCGAACCGCTTTGATGAACTTGTTCTCCAATAACTCCTAAAACTCTTGGTTGTGATGGACCACAGATATCAATGTCTAACACCCCAACCTAAAAAAATAAATTAATATGACAAAATTTAGGTAATATTAAAAAAACAGTGATTCTAAAGATGATGAACATGCTAAAACACATATATTCTACAATCAATAAGAACCTGGTACAAGCTGACACGACATAAATAGCTATAGATATTAGGAGAATTCTCTTTGAATGTAGGATAATGTTTGAAAAAGGATATTCTGAGTTCTTGACATGAAACCATGTACATCGAGGATCATATCGATGTTCTTGGATTAGGAAAACGGGTAAGCCATTCAATTATAATATTTTTCATATAGCAACAAGTTAATTCTAATTAAAAGATATCGTACAAAAATATAATTTTTTTACTCACATTTCTCTCTGGATTATCTGCGGCTAAAGCTCTAGCAATCAGTGATGTTACTGTGCTTTTGCCGACTCCACCTTTACCTGACAGTACTAAAATCTTATATTTAACATCAGCAAGTCTTTCTTTTACTAATGCAATGCCTGGATCAGGTTGTTTTGTTGCTCCAGAAGCACAAAGTCTTTGATTTGGACAACCGGCACATGCTGAAACTTTTCCTGCATCTTCACTTTGTGTCCCCGGGCAATCTAAATGGAAAAATAGATATTATTTATCAATTTATAATTTAAAGTCGTTTTTCATCATATCATACGAATAACCTCACTTTGAATTATTTAAATGACAGGTTATTTCGTACAATATTTTTTTTAATAGTTATATTCAAAATGTTAACAAAAAATATTAGAGATTGTAATTAGAATTGATTGAAGTTATATTCATATGTAAAATCTCTTAAACATGAATTTAAAATACATACGTTCCGGTACTTCGGCAGATACTTCAGCCATGATGAAGCAAACTGCGGTTCATTGAAAAACTTATGTTTGTATATTTTTTTATCTTGAAGATTCAATCTTTTTGTAATGATTTTTCACAGCAAATACAACCTTGGAGTGGTGTTGGTTCATCTATGAACTGTTTAGAACCTGTTATACCAATTCGAAGTGGTGAATGTAAAAGAAATCATTCACTAATGCCTTGGAGACCAAATATGGGTTACGAAAATGTTCAACTAGTTCCATTGTAAATAAATTATGCTTATTGCATTTTGTGATGTAACATGCTAATTTATTTTTTATCTATTAAAAAATTCTTGTTTTCAATAAATTTCTTCTTTGAATTCAAACATTTAAGCTTTTCTTAATCAATTTATTTTATATCTACTTGAATGATATTAGTAAAAAAATTTTAATTAATTCATTTATTGTTAACTAAATTAATTAACATAATTGTTATTCAGGTCAAAAAAATGCGTGACAAATTATACTATCGAACCTTCATGTGGAGTTTCCACAGAGCCATTGAAATTTCCTAATTTAGTAACAGGATTCCAACGCAATCCTGTTCATGCGGCTCAATCTGCTCTCCATACTCGTTATACACCAAACGAATGGTTTCAGAAGCAAATTAAATATTACAATGAAGCCGATGCGAATACTTACTATTCAGAAAGAATACGAAATGATGCTGTAAAAATTATGCGGTACTAATATAATTAAGCGTAAATTTTGAAATTAGAAATACTGAATTAGTTCAATAATAGGCATCATCAAATATTATTACTATTGTGAATAATAAACTTTTTCATTTTTTAATTCTAGAGCCGCAGAAGAAAGAATACAAAATGCTCAATATGATACAAGTCGCAGATTAGGCGAAAGGATAACAGATGTGACTTTTTGGCGAAATGAAATATCTTCAGAATTGGAAAAACTCCTCCTTGAAATTGAACGTCTTCAAGACTGCAAAGCTGTTTTAGAAAAAGCAATTCAAGATATCGAAGGGCCTTTACATATTGCTGAAGAGTGTCTGTACCAGAGAGAAGCTAGAAAAGGTAAAGATTATGTATTATTAATTTATTTCAGCTAAATTGAATAAAAAAATTTGTTTCAGGAACTGAACTTGTTCATGATGATTCTGAGAAATGTCTTCTTGGTGAAGTTTCGAATCTTCGAAATAATCAAAAAAGACTTGAAGTTTGCCTTGATAGATGTAAAGACCAAGTAAGATGTCTATAAATAAATCGAATTGTTATACTAAATTATGACCGTAATTTATTTTTTAGCTTCGAAACTGCCGAGCATCACAAAACCAATTACAATTGGACATGAAAAATAAAGAAAGCGCACTGGGAATTGATACTCTTTGTCATCAATTAAATAATTATACTCACGGCATTCAATATTATTCGGGAATAGAAAAATATGATCCTTGGTAATTCAATATGACAAAAATATTCTTAAATTTTTAATATCAACTTATGAACTAATAAATTAACATATTTCAAAAATGATTTGGCTTTTAGTATTTCAGAACAAGAAACTTGGGCAGATGCAGCAAACAGAATAGTCCAAAAATCTCAAAGTGAAAGAGCAAAATCTGTTCAATTACGTACTGAAGCAGAATCCCTCGTAAATCGAGTAGCAAGAGAGATGTGGGAATGTTGGACAAATACTAATAATGCTTTGGCTCGACGAAGTTCAGAAATGTTGGAAGCAAAAAGCCAACTGCAACAACATTTACATAAGGTAACAGCATTTGAAATTTTTCCTAGTAATTATTTTAAAGTGAATGATCCCAATGACATGTACGAAGTGATTAATGAAATTGAAAAAAATCTAGAAGACATATAGTTATTAATGTAAACTAAATACTATCTACATTATACATAACATACTAACTCTTGAATATGAATAAATTATAATGTAGGTTCAGCAAGAGATTTTTGACGTGGAAAAAAATATAGAATTAATGAGGAAGGCAATTGCTGACAAGAGTTACGCACTGAAAGTTGCTCACACCCGATTAGAAGCAAGAATGCATCGACCAGAGCTAGAATTATGCCGAGATTATGCACATGTTAGGTAATAATTAACCCATTAAATTATTAAATAATACTTTAAAATAAAAAATGATAAAACTATACATTAAAATTAAATTATTTTAGCCTTCAAAAAGAAATAGACAACATAAATCGTGAAGTAGATAAAATGCATAAAATGTTAAAGGAAATGGAATGTCAACATCAAAGATTATTAAGAACAAGAAATTCTTTAGAGCACGATTTAGCTCTGAAGGTTGATGCAATGTATATTGACAAAGAAAAAGTTTCTGGTCTTCGTCGTGCATATCCAGTAAATGCTCTATTTAGATTTTAATCACTGATAACTTATCTTTTTACGTAGTTCTATAAAAAAATGTTCATTATATATTAGTTCATACTGTTCATATATATTATAGTTATTGTATTATAAAATGGTATATTTATCACTGATAATTTCATTTTGATTCATTTATAAATTTTATTAACATTTATATTTTGTACAATTAAGTTACAAATTTTATAACTACTAACCTGACGAGTTGTGTGATTTAGCATATTGGGGTATAGGAATGGGCAGTATAAGCCCTTTTTTAGCTTCAAAGAAAGTGTATGACAAAGTGATATCATTACAATTTTCTAATAATGGATCTTCTGCGAATTCTGGATCAATGTAAAAAAATACTGGCATATCAACCTAAAAGTAAAGCTATTTATTGCGAAATAGTCTATAAATTGAGTAAAGTAGGATAAGTAAATGAATATATTTTTTACTTCTTCATAAGGGTTGAGTTGTTGCTCTTCAAAACAAAAACACTGTATTTTGTTAAAATATTTTCCTGCGTCGAATGGTACAACATTGTAAGTAGAGATTCCAGTAACAGGCTTGTCTGTTGGATTTTTTGCAGTATAAAAAGCCAACGCAGTTTCTCCTGGAAGTACTTTAATTACTTTTTGTTGAGGCTGAAAATTCCAACTCATTTGAGAAACAGTATCAGCTGTAAATGTGATACGGATAACTCGGTCTTTAACTGGCTTCATATCTTCCACAATTTCTGTATTATGGCTTACGGTCCCTCCATAACTCGTTGCCTAATTAAAACAAATTTTTTGTATTTTTTAAAATATTTTTTTAGAGAAATAAACAATTGTTTAATTACCTGACAAAAAACTCTGTAGAGTGGTACAGCCGCATAAGCTAAGCCAACTGTTAAAACCCCAACCGCAGTCACATAGTGCAATGTCTTTTGTTTACGAATATGATGTTCCATTGAGGCTTCTGACATTTTATTTTTAACTGTATTAGTGAAAAAGTTCCGTACATTTTCCTTACAAGAAAGTTTACAAAATCTTAAAATCATAGTTGTTTAAAATATTTAGAAAACTAATCGGCACTGTAGTTGATTATATAATTTGCAATTAATGATCGTTTTGTAATTTACTTGTTCTTATAATTGTTATTTAGATAAACTTATTCATTATAAATATTGTTTGATTATTATTAATATTTTTTTGCCAAAACATAGTATTCAAGATGAATTTATTTATTGCACCATTTGTTATCATTCACATCTGCGCTGGTTCCAGTCAGCAGCCGGCAGGTAGCGTGTTATGTTCATTCCAAAAACCGAAAGCAAATCAGAAAATATCCCCAAAAAACAATATTTGAGTGATAGAGATATTGCACCGCTGTAGCGAAGTGAAGATAAATAAATAATTGAAATTTTATTAAATAAATAAATATTATTGTTTATCATTAACTATAAATCCTTATTAAAGCTCCTGCGATCATTATAAATATAAACATTAGTCTTTTAGTTATACATCACTGGCTCTTTAGGTTATCTTATAAAGTCGGCGTTTATTATGTCAATTGAACAAGTATTTCTGTACTTCTGGATTGAAAAACAGATGGCATTGGTGTATTCTTCTAATCTGTCATGAACAGCTGTTTTACTTATCAATGACATGATGTGTTTACCACTATTTATAAAAATTAATTATCTTATTTTTTGAAAGAATGTTGTCATTGAAAAAAAATAATTTAAGTAATTCGTAATAATGCATAAAAATATAAATTCACCAACTAAATTAACGGAGTTTGCTCCGTTAAGCCAGCAAGATAATCAACCTGGAGTAGTTTCTCTGTTTTCAAAATTTTTTAGTTTTACTAAAAGTAAGTTAATTTAGTTAATTAATTGAGTTGAAAGTAACATAGCAATAGATTCAATCACGTATTTTATATTTTTTGGAATGAAAATTATAATACCTATCATTAATGAAATATGTAATTGATTATTCAGATATATCTACTGGAGAAGGTACGGAAATATCTCCCAATAATGATGAACAAAGCTGTTCTTCAGGAGATTCAGAATCTTGGAAAGGAGATGGATTAGATCGAGAAAAATCACCTGTTGATGATGACAGTTCTACAAGTATGTCTACTTATCCTGTTGACACTTCTGAAGGGCGTAGTTTACCCAATGTTCTCAAACGTATCAGCAATATTGTAGCTTTAAAAAGTAATAATTTGCAATCCTACAAGGATTCTCATTTAAGAAGTTACTGGATGCCAGATAAAAAAGCTAAACAATGTTATGAATGTGGAGAAAGGTTTACAACATTCAGAAGAAGACATCATTGTAGGGTTTGTGGTCAAATATTTTGTTCCAAATGTTGTTCTGACGAAATTCCTGGTAAAATAATGGGTTGCACTGGAGATTTGAGGGTTTGCACTTATTGTTGTAAAGTCGTTTTATCATATTTACAGTCTTCAGATATGAAAAGTGTCCTTTCTGCTGATTTGAAAGCTCTTCAAGAAGACTTACAACTAAAATACGGTAATGATTCTATTCCAGTAATGGAAAATATGTCTAGTAGTGTAATTCAGGATGACACAAGAATAAGTAGAAAGCCAAGTGTGGGATACATGGAAGAAAAATACGCGATAGGAACATCAGGAGATTATTTATCTTCTCAAGAACGAGCAAATGTTTTGAAAAATTCTACATCATTAAGAATCATTTGTGAAGAATTATTTCGATCCAATCAAGCAATTAATCTTCAAACTCACCGAATAAGGCTTAAAAATCACTATAATTGTTTTACAGGAAGTGAATTAGTGAACTGGATGATTGCTCAGAATAAAGCGGCAACAAGAATTCAAGGAGAGGCGATTGGCCAAGCATTACTCGAAGCCAACTTTATTGAATCGGTTCAATCAGAAGTAGAGTTCAGTGATTCAACAGCAATATTTAGACCCACAAGCAATAATTTACTCGGAAATTATCTAAGTAGCAGTAATCAATCAAGTTGTGACGGTCAAGAACCTGCATGGGTAAAAAATATTCCTCAGAATGACTCAACAACAGACTCTGAAAGTGAAACAAAGCCATCATATGCTTCGCCTCCATCTGTGAGTCATTTTCCTACATCAGGGTCTAGTTTTTATCTGGATCTTAATCTTGAAGATTCCACTGTCACGTTGAAACGACCTAAAACGTCTCAAGACATCAATAAAGAATTTACTGATAGTAGTGACAGTGCTACTGAATCAAAACAATACCGTAATTCAATATCAAAACATGATTTTGCTGGTTCAAGTACTGCCAGTGTTGGTTCTGATGAGCTTTTAAATGATGATGCACTTCAAACTGTTCAACAAGTTAAAGAAATTAATTGTTGGTACAAAGTTAATAATTTACGCAATTCTTTTGGAGAAATGAGTGCATATAATAATTTATCATTAGCTTACAAACAACATGAGGATTATTTAATCAAACAACTTTTGAACAGCCAAGGTCTATCTCAAAATTGGTCTGAAATGATACTCTCTCTTGCTCATCAAATTATTGATCAAGTAAGGCCAGATGAAAATCACAATGCTGATGATATGGATATTAGACAATATGTTCAAATTAAAAAATTACCTGGAGGTAATAGGAGTGATTGTGAAATTGTTTCTGGAGTTGTTTGCAGTAAAAATATTGCACATCGTGCGATGCATTCAACGATTTTAAATCCAAAAATTTTATTACTTCAATGTGGATTAATGTATCAGCGTGTAGAAGGAAAATTACTGAGTCTTGAACCTGTTATGTTGCAGGAAAAAGAATATTTGGGTTATACAGTAGCGAGAATCATGGCTCTGAGACCAAATATTGTTATGGTTCACCGATCAGTGTCAAGATTAGCTCAAGATAAGTTTAAAGAATGTGGAGTTACTCTTGTTCTCAATGTTAAGCTTCCTGTTCTTGAAAGAGTGGCTCGTTGTACTGGTGCAACTATCGTGAACACAATAGACGCTCAACTAACAACACGGTTTAAATTAGGAACTTGTCAAAAATTTTATTTGAGAAGTTTTTCTATTAATGATGGTTCGACAAAAACACTGATGTGTTTTGAAGGTTGTGCTGATGCTAATCTTGGATCTACCATTCTTTTAAGAGGTGGATCACTTGTTGAGTTAAAGAAAGTTAAGAATGTAATGTCAATGATGCTTTTTGCTGTTTATTCGTGGAGATTAGAAATGTCTTTCCTAATGGATGAATTTGCTGAACCACCATCTCAGAAAGATGACTGTTTTCTTCATGAAAACAGTAATAAAGATTCAGTAAATAATTTGAGTGAATCTTATAATGATAAATTAAAATTAACAGCTTCTAAATCGTCCACCAATGATAATTATGGTAATAATATTTTTAATGATTTAGAAAATAAAAATACAGATATAAATTCTTATGATACTTTGAAACTTTTCAAATCTAATAAAAAAAGTTCACATAATAATAAAGATGATAAACAAGATGTTTTTCATAAAACAACACAAGACAATGAAGAAAGTTTATTAAATAATGATAGCAATATAAATGATTGTGAAAATGATATTTTGATTGGAGAAATTTCCTTGGATCAAAATGTTATTTCTGAGACGTCTGAAATGACATTTAGACTAAAGGAAAAAGTTTTAAGCGAAGAAAAAAGAGTTCATGGTGAATCAGTGAGTGATCAGAGTGATCCTCTTCATCAATATTTGAATGAAGAGGAAGATATATTTTCTCAAACAATAAATTCATCAAGCACTAGTCAAAATTTAAGTGTTGCTGATCTTCCATTATTAAATAAATTCAAGAAAGCTTTAGATGACACTGTTTTGAGCTTTTCACCTTATCTAAAATTTACAATACCTTATTTAGAAACAGAACCTGGTCGGAATTGTGTTTTGCGTAAATTCTTTCCAAAGGAAATTTTTTATTCTGCCCAATTTTCTAATAAAATTGAAGGAATTAAGGCTAATAATATAAATAACATAACTCAACCATTGAAAGAAAATTCTTTACAGCATAAGTTGAAACCACGACATCCGTTTACTTTAATGAAATTCACATCTGGTGTTGATTCTAAAGAAGTGCAAACACTTTTAGCAGATTTTCGAGCTCGTGGTAGCAGACTACCATTTTCTAACAACGTAATATTAGAAAAAAATACGAAAGTTGTGGAAACTGAATCAACAATAATTAATGATTCAACAGGATTAAGATGGCCTGATTGTTTAGACCCAGCAAGTCATCAACGACTGCCAGTACTTTTTTGTAGCTTTTCTCACAACGCCAATAACGTTCCAGCTTTCTGCCTTAACCCTTGGATAGTAAATATGGATTTATATGGTCGCAATGATATTGCTTTGGGCCGTTTCCTTGAAAGATATTGTCTTACATCTGAATACAAGTGCCCAGCAACTGCTTGTAGAGCTCAGATTGATCAACATGGTCGTAGATTTGCACATGATGGTAGTTGTGTTCATATATCTTTGAAAAAAATATCTAGCGATGTTTTTAGACAAGAAAACCAACATATTTTAATGTGGAGTAAATGTATAAAATGTAAAAATGTATCTCCAGTAGTTCCAATGTCATCAGATACTTGGTCTCTATCATTTGCCAAATATTTAGAGCTTCGGTTTCATGGTAATGTTTATACAAACAGAAGTTCAGATACTTGTAATCATTCTCTTCACCATGATCATTATCAGTATTTTTCAAAAAACAACATGTTAGCAGTATTTAAGTTTACAAAGATTTTGCTTTGGGAGATTTCATTACCGCCACCGCTTATTCATATTACTTATGATGCTAAACAGCATGCAAATATTATTGAGGAAGTGAAAAATATTGCTTTAAAAGGCGATGAAGTATTCTGTGGTATAAAAGAGAAACTTATGACTCTTCAAATTGATCAGGACGGATTGAATCCAATTAAGCAGCAATTGAATAAAGAACAACAGTATTTTAAAAATAAAATAGAAGAAATTCAATTAAAGTTAACATCTCCGACATTAGAGAATAAAAAATTAGAAGGGAAAACAGCACAAAGACATGTACAAGCATTTATGTTTAGAATTGAGGACGGCATAGTAATTTTAAAACGACTAATATCAGAAGCAGTTTCTAATTGGAATGCGAGAATTTTAGATTTAGCTACAAAGAAGAAGGATGAAAGGTTTAGAAGGTTTACTGAAAGGTCACAAGTAACAGGAAGTAGCGGAATAATTGATACCGATGGTTACATAACTGAAGATACCGCATCTGAGTCACTCGTGGAAGATTTGAGTCCTATGTCTGCTGATTACAATGCGATTGATATTATATCTAAAGTCCAGAGTGATTTTCAACTCGGAGAAACTCTCGAGAGTTCTGATAATGAAGTTCAAGAAACTGGTAATCAAACAGACGTTGTTATTCTTCAAGACTCGCCCAAGTCTCACCATCGATCACATTCTGATGTTTTACCTATCACTTTAGATGATATACCCGATAAAAAGAAGAAAAAAAAGACTATTTTATCACAACTTTTACCATCTGCTCCAATTATTACTCCAATCTCTAATCCACTCGGAGCTTTAGAGCATCATTTATTGCCCCTTGGATCTGTTGTTCCTGTTGTTGTTTACGAGTCTGAACCTTCATCGATTATCGCCTACGCTTTAGATTCTCATGATTATAAGCATGCTTTGCAAGAAATTATACGCACAACTAAAGCCGCTGATCAAAATTCAAGTCCTCTCAACAAAAGAAAATTGGACAATAAAGATAATTCTGTTGATTCTAATCAGTCAGGTTAGTAAATATTATTTATTGGTTATGAGTGAATTGTTATTGTTTTTTTCAATATTAAATTTTTGGCAATTTTTTATTTTTAGAAAATAATTTGCAAACCACTAGCAGTACGAATACTACGGATGCAGAAGAAGATAAGAAAATAATAAAACAGCAGAATTACATTGAAGTTCAATTTGCAGATGATACTACTAATTTCTACTGTAGGATATATTTTGCAGCACAATTTGCTGCATTGAGAGAAAATGTATTGCCTTGTGGAGAAGATGGTTTTACCAGAAGCCTTTGTAGAAGCGTTCAATGGGCAGCAAGAGGTGGTAAAAGTGGCAGTGCTTTTTGCAAAAGTCGAGATGACAGATTTATTCTTAAAGAATTATCAAGAGTAGAAATGCAAATATTTCTAGACTTTGCACCAAATTATTTCGCATACATGGAAAAATGTCTTCGAAATAAACAACCAACACTCTTAGGTAAAATTATTGGAGTTTACAGAGTATCTTTTAAGAATAATACAACAAATGCTTCACTTAAAACAAGTGTGTTGGTAATGGAAAATTTATTTTACTCTCGAACAATTACGGATAAATATGATTTAAAAGGATCAGTGAGAAATCGCTTAGTTAATCTAGATGAAGCAGATCATGAAGGAGAATTAGTTTTATTGGATGAAAATTTATTGAATATGAGCTGTGATTCACCTTTGTATATAAGACCACATTCTAAAGATGTTTTAAACAAAGCAATTGAACAAGATACTAAATTTTTAGCTGAGAATTCTGTAATGGATTATTCATTGCTTGTTGGTATTGAACCAGACTCAAACGAGCTTGTTTTAGGAATCATTGGTAAGCATTTTAATTTTCTATAATTTTTCGAGTAAATAATAATCATCGAAAAATCCAATTTTATTTGTTTTTAAAATACTCATTCTCATATATTCGAATATTTCAGATTATATACGAACGTTTACGTGGGACAAAAAGCTAGAAACAATGGTAAAAAAATCCGGAATATTAGGAGGTCAAGGTAAATTGCCAACGATTGTATCTCCAGAAGAATATCGTGCTAGATTTATTGTTGCCATGCATAGATATTTTCTACCTGTTCCGGATAGGTGGACTGGATTAGGCCGTGGGGTTGAGTCTTCATAACTTTTTAACTATGCTGATTAAATTAATAATTCATTTAAATACAATTATAAATATTGTAAATAATTGATAATAAATTGAAGAATTTAATTATTAATTATATTATTGTCACAAAGAAATTTTCAATAATAATTAATTTGTACATATTTTGTGTTTTCTAAACTGAATTAATCTTTTCCATAGGTAAGATAGTGGAATTAGAAATTTGATGTAAAAAATTTTTTATGAAGACAACAATTTCATAATCGATTATAGTAGCAAATAATGAATCAAATTAATATTTATCCACTTATTTATATGATTAATAGAATATTTAATTACGGAAGATATGTATGATTAAAAAATACAATATATGTAAGAAAGCGTTACTTATTTATTCAGATAATAATTTTTATCCCATATTTATATACACAGATATTATCTTTTATATAATTTTAAAACAATAATAAATGTATTAATCGAATTTAATATTAATTATCATGATTATTATAGCCATGCATGTATCGAAGTCAATTTTATTAAATTAAAAACGTATTTTTAAAATATTTGAAAGTTCTCAAAAAATTCATAATGAAAGAAGGCAAACGTATTTAATTTACAACGAAAATTTATTTACACGACTAAATTATATTGTAACAATGTATCTCAAGATAAATTGAAATGTAAAAAATTGATTTAAAATGAATAATTATAATTGATACAATGATATTTCGCTTTTTTTCACCATATCGTCGTTAATACTCGACCAGGTGGGACTGAACTTGTCTGTACTTACGATTAATTTAATTATATAATTAACAATTATTTAGCATTCAACAATGAGAGTAAAATACATATAAAGCTTGCGTGTCAAATCTACGGGAAATAAATTTGAACAAGTCTTTACTACATCGTTAAATAATATTTTTATTTCATCTTTGCAGTTTATGAATGCGTGGGATGCAGTTTAAATTTTTATTGTAATTGTAAATATTTGTCTGAAATTAATTAATAGGTTCAAGTGAAAACGCATTGCGTAAGTACCGTCTTGATACTACACTTTTCATCTAATAAACTTTTTGACAATATTTTATAAGAATATTCATTGTAAAAGAATAAATGAAATATCTTGAAAAATACATTTACATCATAACAACAAGCAGAAAACCTTTGTGAAAAAGTTTTCTTAAAAGATAATTTTTTACATTGTAATACGACATAGTCATCAATGAAATTATTATACGATATTCTAATTTAATTTGTTAATTATAAAATCAAGTAAATAATTTTTAATTGTTATTTTTTTTGTACCTCACAAGTCAGGGAACTTTAATCGCTAAAACAAACACGATGTTGAAGCGATTATGACTTTAATAACTCAAGTATGTTATTTTATTCATTTGTTCACATATTACTCCTTTTAATAATCAAGATATCACGATTAATTATTCTTTAGTCGATATTGTTAAATATCATTCATTAGTCTCTTATACACTAAAATCTCAGGATACATTTGCAGAGTGTGCATCGTAAAATACTTAAAAATATTTGTTATCTTCAACATGTCTACGGTATTTGATTCATTCATGTGTGATTTTATTCTAATTTCAATTTCATATTAGGCATAGTCCTAATCGTCGAATTATTGTATTCCCTTGTTATTTTTCACATATAGGAGATTTGTTATGATATTAAATCTCCAAAAAATTCATCTTTGTTAATTAAATCTTAATTAAGGGATATTTTGAGGTATCTCGATTCATCGTCTCCTTACTGAAAGCTTACGACAATTATATTTAACTTTATGTGAATCGTCGTGCTTTTAAGACAAGTCTTCAAGTACGTACTACTTGCATATTATTTTTATTGGCACTTATCGCAAATTCGCAAGCGCTTTAAATGACCAAGAGTTTGTTTTATCTCTGTGGTTCGCCAAGTCCAAATTGCTGTTGATTTTGTGTTTGTTGCTGCGTGCCAGAGACACTACATCTAACTCCGTGCTGCATTGTTGATACTGATTGTTGGATATTTTGACTTGGAGACATGCCTATAATAAAATTCATAAATTGCATAATAAACGTAACATTATAGATGTCAATGAATTTCTAATACTATCGACAGTTACGAATTGTTTGTATTAAGTATTTTTAAATTAATGATGAAAGAAGTAAAACAAAGACTACCTGAAGGTGTTTTGTCACCCGTAGACATTTTTGAAAAAGCCACTAACGCATCAGGAAAATTTGGTGGAGTAGCTGGTGTATTACATGGCGTTATCTATAAATTCATACAAAATATAAAATTAAAATTATTTTTTTTAATCATATTTCAATCATTTAGTCTAGATTAAAATAATTTTACAATTATTTTTAGAGAATTACTATTGAGTACAATCCAATTTACTTTGTTATCTTGAATACTATAGTACTAAAATTTTTTATTGATTTCTTTATTTTGAATGGTAATTCATTTAATTATTAAATAACTGACACTTATTTATATTGGCAATTTATTTTGTATTGAATGTAATTATTTGTAGTTGTCTTCAGTCAAAACGACGTTAGATTTGGCACGATTCTTATCGGAATGTTACAGCCGAGAATAGTAACCTACCTAATAGTGACTGCTTGCTCATCCAGTGGCTCTCAAATTCAATTTTTGTCATTAATATATTGTTATATTTTTTTATTTTTAATTAATATTAATGTTTATTCTTTTATTATTTTATTTTATAATCAATAAATACTATTTCTCCATATTAATTTAATTTATATTCCTAAATATCTTCTAATTTTACCTCTTTCTTAATAATCATTGTAAATTGAATAAATATTTTTTTAATACTTATGATAATGTACCTGACCAAAGTGCGTTCCGGGTCCCTGAGGACAAGATGGTATTGCAGCTTCTTGAAAAAATATACTGAGTGCAGTCTGAAAGTAAACAAGATTTTTTATGTTAATGACAGAATTCAAATAATTAAAATCAATTGTTTTAAACAAATAAAAGAGATAATGAAAAACATTTGTGCTTGACGATAATGATGTTTACATAAAATTCAAAATAAAGAATTATTTATAAAAAATTATAGCAATTTCAAAATAAAGTAACTGATAATTATCACAATATTTTTCAATAATATTTAATAAATTCATGTTTATGTAACAATTAAAAATCACTAAGAGTTTGAGAGTTGCATAGAATAAATTATTTAAGTAGAACTTTTTCAAACATTGATTCAAGAAAAGATTGGTATTAAAGATTTTCTCAACAAGCAAATGCCAAGTATTGAGTATTGAACGTTCCATCTTGTTGAATTACTCGTTACATGATTACGATAACATTGAATAATCGCAGCTGTGACAATATTAAAATAATTTGTAAGATCATCAGATAATTTTTAAGAATTGAAGTAGATAATAATATGGAATTATTGATTTAATAACCATCGTTAAAAATAATTTTTACAAATTATACTTTATTTTTTTTATAGATATTTCAAAGCTTTTAATATTATTAACTCTGACTACGCGTATAAATATACTATAATCTGTCAGATATTGATAAAAAGTTGATGCATGTTCATTTTTGACATGAAACGGTTGAAAAGTTGTTTATATATTAGATTTTCTTAAGTAACGCGTCATAATCGTTTAGCACATTTCCAATGTTTATAACTAATATGTAGTAATATCTTAGTATACGTTGAATATATCTATATTCATTTCTATGTATCGCTTAAACCAGATTATTCAATCACTCGGTTGAGAAGAAAAGTAAAATATACTTGGTGACGGGAAACGATTTGCCAGGTACCGTTAAACGACTTTCGCGTACTGATCTCTTAAGCCTACGAATTAATTCAAAAGAAACAAAATTACCAGAACAAGTTTTCTCATAACTCTACTTTAAATGTAATAAAATTTTAACCTTTTTATTGTAACATTAATTATAAATTATTATGAATATGTGTATGAGTAGTATATAAATTAAGAAATTATTAATTGCCCTTCAATTACAGCTGATTTATTTTTAAGTATTCATTTAAATTATCATATTTATTTTGTTTATGCCATTTTCATCGATTATAATACAATCATAATAGTCTGATTATTTTTAAACATAAATGTAAATATTTTTATTGTTTATTTTTAACTTTGAACTATTTGTAAATGGAATTCAAATAAGACAGACTCTTTAACGAGTATTAAGAATTTAGAAGTGTGATCGGATGATGAGAGATTCTATTTCTCAACTACTGATTGGCACTAAATGATATTCGACTACGAGTTACATAAATAATTACGAGAAAAAATAAAAATAACATTGATTTTACTAATAATATTTATTTTATCGTTGTCTTTGATTTCTTCTTAGACATGGTTTAAGATAAAAATAATTGGATTTATTGATAAAAATCTGAATGAACGGAATTTTTAGTCCATTGTTTTTCTTTCACCCTTAATTAATGTAATGTTGCAATACTTGAATGATATGTAGAATAAACTTCAATCCATTCTAAACATTCTTTTTGTTATCTAAATGTTTACAATCACGCAGTCAATTTGTCTTGTAATACTGTTTAAGTACACAATAAAAAATAAGTGATAATGGAGATAAACTTTTTTTTTTATAAATTGATTAAAAAGTGTATAATTTTTATCATTAAAAGTATTAGCATTGCTTAGTTTCTTGGCATTTACGTAAGGTGTTTATATTTACTTGATGTAACAATTGTTGGAGGCTACCTAAATGGATCATACAAAAAATGAATGAGATTAGAGGCCATTTTATGATGGGCTTTGTTTACGTGTATCATCTTATAAAGTGCCGCCATCGAGTGCGCAATGACACTGACGACAGGCAACATTAATGAACGCGGGATAAACTTACCTCGAATTGCCAATGGGCAGCTTGAAGTAATTGTTTTGCTTGCTCTCTCGCGCAACCTGCTGCCAGCACAAATTGATTGATCATTACCTGCTCGCGCAGAGCGTCCATTTTTTAAATTCTCACTTAACTATTTATTTCCAGTCAAATGATGAATCAGAAGGATGTGTGGTAATGAAAAACAATGACCCAAACGTTTAGTAACAGACTGCGGCAAGTAAGTAATCACAGACACGCGGAAAAACGTAGAGGGAGTATGATACAATAATGCAGGCGAATGGATAAAGAGAGTGGTGTATGTATTATGTGTAATATTTCTTCAACGACGATATGAATAACAACCAATGACACGTTTTAGCTTGACAATATTTAACCACTCTCTTGATAGCAGCTTCTTGTAATAATGTAACTGAATATATTTATTAAAGACACGATCACTACGGTTGAATGCTGGTAGATCTCTTGTTTTCAAAACTCAACTTATCACCCAACGGAAGACAAACTTACAGGAACGTGCGGGACGAAATTAGAATGACGTCACATATACTGTGGAGTATATAGAAACGTACGTACTCCCCCGTGTTTGGAACAGTTCTATTGACCGAACGTACTCCCCACTGATTTTATTTTACATCAATTTTGACCTTAATTTAATAAAGTCATATGTTATTTATATTCTTAATCAACTTTAATTACCTTTAACTTTTTTCAATGCAAATTGTTAGAGCTAAACACATTAAATTATACACAGTTTGTTAATTTTTTACGCGTTATTTACACAACAAAGTAAACAAAACTCGGCGTAAAAATGAATATGTGCTGCCACTATGCAGCAGAATCTGTAGAAACAGTATGCAATATGGCGTAAGTTGTTACGTTCATTCATTTTTTGTGGAAATCATTTTATATTTTATTTAATAGTTATCATCGTTCAAAGACTTGTTTTAGTAAATTTTTAAATAATAATGGACGACTTTAGTTAAGAATATTATTTCAGTAGTAGTTGAACTTATAAATAAATCCCAAAGGTCAACTAAATACCATCGTATTATTACATGTTAAAAAAACAAGACAATAAGATATTTTAATTATTTTTTTCTATTCATTTGATTCATTCAATTTTTTAAACAAGTTTGAGAATTAGATGCATTGTTACTAACTATAATTGACGTAAAATTATTCATTTACGCTAATGGATATCGCAAAAGTTAAAATAAACCATGATACGCCATCTGGTCAATTAATTGATAAAACACTTTTTTACAGATAGCGCCACGTACTGAGGTTAGTTTTATAAATTTTATTGCAAATATTTTTTATTATTGCAAATTGGTTCGTATTTGTGCTGAAAGATGGCATATTTTTTCGGCGGAGGAATTTAATTTAAATATATTATTATGTAATCGATCTATATATAATCAAGTGGATATCCATTTTAATTAAAACAGTATTTGAATAAAAATGATATAGTCTTGCGTAAAATATTTATCCTAACGTCAATCGAGCGAATAGATTGGCAAAAATATGCTATGAAGAAAGTTACGATAGTAAAATTAAAATAATTATATACATATTTTTCTTATTAAGCTGTTATTTTTTCAATGATTCTGTTTTTATTGGTATCCTTTCTAAAAATGATTGCTGAACTAATTGTTTTATTTTATATGCATTCTTTACTGACTTATTGCTATTTAATGGAAATAATAAAAAGTGAAGGAATTATTTAAATATGTCTATGAGAATTAAAACTTTAATTTACACGTCCGATTAATGAAAGATGAAAAACTAATTTAACTTTTATAAATTTATGGTTAAAACGACAAAAATGGATAATTTTTATAACTATCAGTAAAAATGAATCAAAAATGTGATGGATACTATTTTCCTTGACTGAACGAGGTTACATAAATCATTTCTAAATAAAAATAATTAAGTGAAGACTCAATTTTCAATTGATTCGTACTTGATATATTTTTTTCCGCATTTTCCCCTTGGGCGATAATCATTTCGCTTATTAAGGCATGAAATTAAGCGTGGATATAATATTACTAAATAGATGAAAGCATTTTTATTGTATATGATAATTCAGTAATATTGTGATCTCACGTAATATTTTCTCATGAAGTAATAAACCTCACGGTATCACTCGCTAAGTCATAAAGCCCGGTAGCAAATGTAATATGTTGCGAGGAAGAAACGCAACAATGATTGCAGAGTCTAGTATTTAAATGTTATAAAGTTATAGATGATGATGTCTATAAATTTAAAATAAAAAATGAATATCATTGCGATCATCACACTCATAAATCACTTATTTCCGTATAATAAAGTAATTATTGTTAATAATATATTAATAATGTGATTATGAGTTCATAAGTGATTATAAAACATAATCAATCTTCTAATTAATTATTGGAGGATTTATTGGAAATATTAATCAATTTATTAAAACATAATCAATTCGTTACGGTTAAAATTTATGAATTATATGGATAATTAGTGAAAAAAATGTTTAAGCTCAGGTTGGTTGTAAAAGAATTATACGAAAATTCCAAGCATCCATAGAGATTAATTGAAGAATTTTCTATGCCATTGGAATTTTTAGCTAGATTATTTAGATGTTGAGGGAGTGAAAAAAGCACAATTCTGATAAATCAAATAACAAACGATGATATTAAATATTTATGAGCTATGAATGATTAATAATTCATATTGATAATTGAAGAATAAATTTTAGAACTGAAATTAATGATTAGGTGATTAAATAAAATGACTGGGCGTACAAAGAGACTTTCTATGTTTTTTAAAATGTCTTTAGTTGCTCACTATACTCAGATATGGGAATCCACATAGCCCCAGGGCGTCTTCATGTGCAGTTGCACTCTTTGGCTCTCGCAATCACCATCCTTGGATTCGAATCTGGAGCGCTTGATCTCGAGTATTCGCCTAATAACGGATTGCTTATTACATTCTTCTCTCTAATGTCTAGTTTTTGTTGCCTATATTAATCCTTTATCAAATTCGATAATTATTTTATCGAAAAATGGGCATTAAAATAATGGCAAATGCCCTTATATAGATTGTGTTTTACTTTTATCGCAATTATCAACGAAGCATGAACTTAAAGATATTTCTATTGTCAGTAAGAGGGTTCAGTCTGCAGTAATATTACATGATTCTTTTGTTAACATCCATCGCCAAAGTACGCTGAGCTCTGCAATAACCGACGCGTTACAAAATAATGCAGGGAATCGTTAAACTTTCCAGACTTTTCGCAACGTCACCCAGCGAGAACGCATTAATATCTACGAGCGGGGGGGGGCTGAACGGGGTGTCTTAAAATATCTTTAGAACCGTAAAAACTAAGTGAATAAACACAGGTAGATATGCATGGACAGTTAAGAGCGGAGGAAGGTTTATTGCGCAAGATTACGGATACTGAACTACGTTTAAACCAGTTATTTCTAACAAGCCGAAAATAAAAAATCCAATGACAGATTATTATAAACAAATTTTTTACCCATTTATTGACATTCCTTGGATTATAAAAAAATTTTTGACATAGTCCTGGAACCATGAAATTCATTTTAATAATTATCGTCACGGTAAAATCATGAAACCTGAATTGTATTTATAACTGATAAAAAATATTGAAATTATAATTTACAATATTTCAAAATCTTTGATTTATGCTGCGATTTGAAATGAAAAAGGATAAAAGTTATTGCAAAAAAATTTTGTAATAAATTCACATTAAAAATCAAGATGTAGATTTTAATGAGAAATGGCAAACTTTTTAGTGAAAGAATAATGGAAAATTACTAAACAATATGAAATAAGGAACAATATAGATTCCATTAAAACTAATTCAAGGCTATGGGAATTTTTTAAATTAGTTAATTAGATAATTATTTAATTATATAATAAAATAAATGGAAAGATTCACAAGTAATCAAAAGGAAATGAAATGATCCATTTGTGATGATATTGAAAATGATAGTTGATTACGATTAAATATACGTAATCACCTACTTTTGTTTTTCTTGAAATGGTGATCATCATTCCTAGAAGTCGTGAAACTGGACTGAAGTGAATCCATGCCAAGGTACAGGTTGATCCCCATCATTTATCGACCTTCGTTGACAATTTGTTTTACGCAAGTACCAAGTTCTAGGCAAGTCTACCGGAAAAAATCGAATCATTATCTTCTTATTCTTTAATATTAATTACATTCGAATGATAAAAGTACTCTTGGAGTTCATTAAATCAGACTTGGGGAATGGATACAGTGTTTGGTAATAGGGTAAAGTTTTACATAAATTGCTGGTAACCAGAAGGGCGGATTAACTAAGTCTGAACAGTGAAAGGAACCTCCCCTGGTGACGTTAGATATCCCCGCTTAGATCCACGTCTTGGTGTGCTGGGCAGGGCACTACTATAAAAGCTATCGTCTATGCTCCAACATCATGTAGTGCTAACTTCTTTTGCACAAGACAAACTAATTCAAACCAATTCAACATGAAACTGTTGGTAAGTTTGTTTGCCAAGATATATTCATCTATAAGTATTCATTTCTTATTATACTTGTTTTATTTATTATAAATATTTCTTTGTGTTGTATTTACAAGTTAAACATTTGAAAGTTTTATTGAATATATTTTATAGTTTTTGAAAGTGTTTTTTATGTTTTAAATACAATTTTGCTCTTACAATTTTTTACTTATAATGGTTATTCCAGATTTTTAATTATTTCTTTTTTTCAGGTCGTTTTCTTCGCTGTTGTTGCCGCAGCTGCTGCTTATCCTGGTTATGAGGTAATTTATTTTACTTTCAAAAATTATCCCAATTTTCAGTTTATCACTAAACACAACCTGGAAATATATATATTTTTTTTAATATTTTCGTGTCGTTACATATCATTGTCAATTTGCAACCATTATTATTTCTAAAATCAGAGGCAATCGACACGGTACTGCTTATTTTTCCCCAGCATTATTACATTCAAGCAGACTTGTTTATCCATCGTTTAAATTGGGCACATTTTGGAATTATGTAATATCTGTATAAAATACCTTTGGTTCAGGATCCATGGCAATCATATGGCTGGAAGCCACAGCCAGTGATTGTCAAAACTGGTTGGCAACCACAACCAGTAGTACATCCAATAGTACATCCAGTAGCACATCATCCAGTAATTGTCAAAAGCGGTTGGTCCGGCTCCTATGGTTGGCCTAGTTCCTATGGTTATCAAAAACCATATCATGGTTATCAATTGCCTTATCACCAGGTAAACCAAATTTCTGGAGAAAACCATCGCAACTGGAGTCATTGGCCACTAAAAATCATTGAGAATGTTCAACAATTAATACAGCAGCTCTATTGCTCATTAATTACTTCTTTTTATCTATTCCATTTTATCTAACTCTTTTACAGGTTTTTCAGCGTTAACACTCTTCAGTATCTCATTGATTAATTCTTTTCTTCAGTGTGTTATTTACCGATTAATTATTTAATTTTACTTTTTTTTATTAAATAATAAATCATTATTAATCAATTTATTGATTAAAATATCTCATGATGATCAATCATTATGTGTCTTCATCAACCATCTGGATTATTCATTAATAATTTTTTTGTATTTTTCAGCACCACCATGTGCACCATGTTGATGCTATCCATATTCCCCAACAACCAGCAATTCCACCAGTTCACCCCCACCCATTGAAACTCGACTCGCATGCTGGAGTTAGCAAAATCCATTACGACTATCCCCATGTTGGCCACCCCCATCTCATCGGTTACGAAGTTGCTGTCCACGAACCTGAAGTCAAACATGTTGTCAAGCCTGTTCATCATGGTCATGGATGGGCATAAATTCATAGCTGAGACATCTCCTGCAATCGATTATCAATTGGTTCTACCTATGGTCTTTCATCTCTTGTCTACTTTGGACAGATCTCATCAACAATTATCTACAATCGCTAAAAATTTCTTATAAATTTTTCATTTGACAAATTTATTCATCATGGTTTTTTTTTATAAAATGTAATATAAAATTATAATTTTATTTGATTTAGACACAACATCAGATTATTCAGTGAGAAATAAAGATAATAAAATAATTAAAACATTTGTTAATTTTTTAATTTGTCCAATAGTTTGAATGGTTTTAGATTGTTATATCATACTTATCATGTATGAAGTATTGTTATCAGTTGTGATTTTCTTCTACAATTGGAAATTGATATGATAACATTATAAATATCAACTTACAAAAGAATTTAAATTTTATAACAACAGTTTTAAAAAATGTGAGTACATAGATTCTTGTGCAAAAAAAATTTTAACGCCTATAAAACAGTGTATGTTAAAAAAGTTCGTTATGCTAAAAAATAAATAGCGTATGTTTATTGATGTGATACTTAACAAGATAAAAACCATTTGATGTCATGAAAAGTATGAATAGATAATAAATTTGCACATAGACATATGCATTATTATACGGGAAAATACTGATAAAGAGAATACTTTATATAATTCTAATATAACAACCCTTAGTAACAAATCAATTTTTCGTTGTCAAGGAAACACTGTGTCGAAACAATACTTTCTTATTAAAATAATACATTTTTAAATGTCAACATCATGAAATTATATTAATTTGCACTATCAATGTATAAGTAATTTTCTAAACGGAAAATTGATAATAATTATTAGTATTATAATAATAAAGTAGGGGAACTTATGTAATATTTAATGAGGATAAAGATCAATCATTATTTATAGCATAATTATAAAATACTCGTATTTTCGCTTTGAAATAATCTTGAATTTGAATAAATCTATTTGTGACGTATTTCTACCTATATTGCAATAAATAGATACACTTTCTCTAGATTGAAAGAATTATATATTACACAGATTGAAGCTACATGACTTCCATTACGTTACGATTGCTCTGGTAATATTTGGTAAAAGTACAGATAATTTAAATTCAAGATTTCTTCGGTACATAACCTTTTATAATTGAATTGAAATTATACCAAATTAAAATGATTGTTATTACTTTCAATGCTCGGAACAATTTATCTTTTCTATCATTATTTCGCTGACGATATTTTTTCAATAATAATTTATCTACAGATATTAAAAATGATATTTGAGTATCAAAAATATGTATGGAAGAATCATTTTTATTATTTAAAGCATTGTTTTCGATGATATTCTTAAAAACTATTTTATTTAATTGTTGAAAAGGTGGTGAGAACTTTTTATATTTTTATTAATAACATTAAATGATTATGCATTAAATGATGTATTACATAAAGTATCTACATAAGATGCAAATATGTAAATATTTTTTCAAACTGTACTTGGTTGATGTTAATTTGATATGATTATGATTAATAGGTGGAAAGCTAGTCGGAAGTGATTGAAACATTGCAGAAAGTATGATCGAAAGTAAATGAGTTCGTTTCGTCAAAAATAATGACGTTTAGGCGGACTAGACACCTGGCTGTCCCACATGAAGTTCTTCAGTGTCGTCAGTTCGATCCGGTCAGTGGGACATCGAGCATGAACAAAGAAGGTGGCAGTAAGTACCATGTATATACTCTTTAAACTTGATTATAGGGTTACTCTGACTATCAATTACATTGACACTTAATACTATCACAATCAGATCATTAAAATATTGATTTTTTGAAATCATTATTATTATTAAATATCTATAAATATAATTTTAAAAACCAAATTTTAAATCAGCGTTTTCAATTATGAATCATGTTATAGGCGATGGAGTTTATTCGGTCGACAGTACAACAAACTTGGTTGCTATCAAATCCAGAGAAGCTTAGTAAGTATTAACGATTTAGTAATCAATAGAATATTGACATCAAACTTAAGCATTTTACTTACCTACTTATTACGGTAATTGTTTGTTTTATGTAGTTTTAAAAGAAGACGGAAAAAATCTGGAATCATTTTGCTAGTTCTGTCTATGATAGCTACTGGTTTGTTGACCGGTATTATTGCTCTTGGAATTTTATGTAAGTTTTAATATATTAATCAATTTAAATGGAATTAACAATCATGAATAGTAATAAGAAATTTTTCATTTCAATTAGATACACTTTTCTAAACTATTTTTTTAATTACAAATTTTTTTCATTTTCTTTATTGCAAAACGATATGAATTAATAATGAATATTTCATTTAAATAATATATTTTTAGATGGTAGACATGATTACGGGGTTGCATTATGTGACTCTGAAGATTGCGTTCGGATAGCAGCAAGTTTGAAAGAATCTATGGACATTTCCGTTGATCCCTGTGAAGATTTTTATCAGTGAGTATATTTTTTCACGATATAGTCCTATGAAGTTTATTTTTTTTTTAATATAATTTAATAATATGTATTACGCAGATATACATGTGGAAGATGGTCTGAAAATCATCCTACACCAGACACCAACACAATGAACTCTTGGTTCAATGAAAGAGCTGAAAAAGTCACATGGAGAATTAGAGAATTACTTAGGAAAAACTTGACAGCTGTTCCATGGGCTGTTGAACAAGCAAAAATTTTTTATGAAAGCTGTGTAAATACTAGTAAGTTAAAAACAATTTTATATGAAGAAAAAAACTTTAAAATTGATTAATAATTATGAATATTTTAGAGGCATTAGATTCTCTTGGTCTTGAACCACTTTTTGATTTATTGAGTGAACTAGATTTACCAACTATTCCTGCAATGATGGGAGAAACAAGTGGAAACTTTGTACAAAAAATAGCTCGTGTTCGTAAAATTTTAGGAAAGGACGTATTTATTGGCTTTAATATAATTCCTAATCCTAAAAACCGAAGTAAAAATGTGATAATTCTTGATACTCCATCGGTTTTAAGTCCTTTACCAGGGTAAGAACAATCATAAAATTCTACCAACAAGGAATCATAATTTACAATGGATATTAAATAAAATTTTTTCCACATATAGTGATAAAGAAATAGAGAAAAGAATGAAAACTCTAAGAATGGACATGGCAAAACTTGATCCAGTAAATTTAAATAAAAATGTAGATCAAAATCCAGAATTAATCGAAAAAGCCTATATAACTGCAGTGATAAAAGAAATGATTAGTAATGGTACCCTGAATTCATGCAATTCTGCTCAAAAAGTATCATCACAACAGGAAAAGACCATAAAAAAAGTCGTACAACAAATATATGATATAACTGGCCTTCTTTTTCAGGTGAAACATTGATTAAGTTATTGTATTATTTAAAACATTTTTTTTATCATTTACAATCTTATTACGTGGACTGTTTATTTAAGTGAATGCATTTTTTTACATTAGATGTCACATGCAGACAGTAATAGTACATTATCGGACGAAAATATCAACGATGATGATTATATGCTTGTAGATGAACTTCAGAAAGTGACTGATATGCATGTGAAGCAAGAAGATGATACCTTAGAACCAAAACTCATATGGAGACCGTATATCGAAGAGATTTTTAAGGGAATTATAGATTTAGAGTTGAGTGAGAATGACAAATTACTTATTGCAAATCTTGGATACCTCAAAGATTTAGCTGTACTTATGGCATCACTTGAAGAAGATGTATTAGGTTGGTTTTTGTTCTTTGTGTTTTGATGTGATAGACAATGATATATTGATCGTATTTTTTTCCAGAGACAATATTATGGTGGTCAGTTGTCGATGTTGTAGCACCTCATTCTTCAACTAATCTCAGGGACACATGGTCAAACTATATTGATAATTTAGTCAATGTTGAAATTTATGATCCAAGGAGTTTGCACTGTGCTGAAGTAGTTAATTATATGATGGGTAATTTATTTTACATTTTTCAGTAAGTTACATTTAGGTACTGTTCAGTGAATAAATAAGACTAAAATATGTAAACAATTCTCATATTGAATTAAAGTTTCACCCACGTGCAAATCTTTTTTAAATAATAAACCCGGTTTAAAAGCGTAATTGATTTTCCTTGCAGACATAAGTTGATATATTTAGTCAATAATTTATTCAATTATCAAAGAAAGAAATAGTTATTTCTAAAATATTCTCTTTCACATTTATAGTAGTTGACTTCATTTTTTTAAAATCTACATTTGAATTTAATTTTGTTTTAGATTAAGCTTTTTATGATTTTGTTATTAAATTTAAAATCTAAACCGATATAATTAATAATAGTAAAATTTTAAATTAGGAATGGCTGTATCATGGCTGTTCGTTGATCCTGAATTCCATGATGAAACGGGTCCAAAAGTGACAGAAATGCTCGAGGACATACGAGCAGCGTTTGCATATTTGGTAATAAGAACAAACTGGATGGATCAAAATACAAAGATAGCTACTTTAGAAAAATCAAAGAAAATGGCTTATGTAATTGGGCATCCAGAATGGCTTTATAATGAAGACAAATTGAATGAATATTATGAAGGCGTAAAATCAAAATATACAATAAATATATAATCAAATTGCTCAGTTAACGTGCTGATCAATTGATATAAAATAATTTATTAATGATAACTCATCAACTACTTTCTTATAGATAGACATGAAAGATGATGAATACTTGAAGAATATGTTAACGATAATTCGTCTGTCCAATGAAGGAGAGATTCGATCAACTCATCGAATTAATTACATGAATGAAACTTAGTAAGGCCATTTCTATACTTAAAAATGTAGTTAATTACTTGTAAATTCTATTTATTTATGTAAATAACAATTTCTAATTGACTTTAAGTTGGGGAGCAGAACCAACAGACGTCAATGCTGTTTATACTGTCACAGCAAATCATATAAGTACGTATAAATTATTTATTTATGCTATTCAATTAATACATAATAAAATGAAGAAAATAAACCATTAAATATCTATTGTAACTAACATAACTGGAGAAGACTAGATATTAATTTTTTTTTATTATATTTATGATTAAATTAATATTTTAGTTTCATTTCTTAATCAAAAATTGTAATTATATTGCGGACGCAGCTGTGCCTGCGGGCATATTACAGTTTCCGTTCTACGAATTAGGCTTAGAGTAAGATAAATATAAAATGCTGGATAATATTTTGATAAACAATGTTGAAAGTAATTTTCATTGCTGAATTTTTTTCTCTTAGGGCTTTAAATTATGGAGCCATTGGAACAGTTTTGGGCCATGAGCTTACCCATGGTTTTGATAATAGCGGGAGATTGTATGATGGTGAAGGTAACATCAGACAGTGGTGGAGTAATGAGACTATTCATGAATATAAAGATAAAGTGGAGTGTTTTATTAACCATTATGAGAACTATTATGAAGAACAGGTAAAATTATACTAATTTAGAAAAAGCGTTTCAACAACAGTAGAATTTAAAAATGATTATAAAATAATGAAAGACTGTTTTCATACAAAATTAAATATTAAGTAATGATGGGATAATTTTTAATAAGATTCTCTATATTAAATATTAATGAGATAAAATGATTTAATTAAATTCATAAATTCAAGATTGATGCGCACATCGATGGAGTGTTAACATTGGATGAAAATATTGCCGATAATGGAGGACTTCGTGAAGCTGTTTATGCTTATAAAAGATGGAAGGATAAACACGGTCAAGAACCTCGGTTGCCAGGATTCACCCATTTGACACACGAACAGCTGTTATTTTTAAGCTTTGCTCATGTAAGATTTCCCTTTTTCTGAATCCTTGATTTTTTCTTTTTTCGTCTTCCAGACACTTCTACGAAATATTTAAAATTCCATTACTTAATTTCATGATTACATTAAACAACTATCTTCATATTGAATTTGAAAGTCAAGGATACTGATTTTATTTATATATTTTTTTAGTTATGGTGTGAGGCTTATACTCCAGAATCCTTGAAATGGATGTTACGAGATTCACATTCTCCTGGTCATGTAAGACTACGAGCAGTATTAACGAACTCTAATGAGTTTAGTGACGCGTGGAAATGTCCTGTTGGATCACCTATGAATCCAAAAAAAAAATGTCGAATATGGTAATGATGTAATTGATTTTCTACAAAGAACTTTTAATGCAATCTTTTACAATATAAATACATATTTCTACTAGAATAACAATGTTTATATTTACTTAAAATCATGTGCCTTTAGACATTTATGTCGCGGAATAGGTCAAATATTGCAATCACAATAAGCTTTGATAAATTGATGATTTTAGGTATGAATTTTAAATTTCAATGCCATTTTTTTCAATCAATCGTTAATTTATTTACACTCTTCTTCATTCATCATGATCATTATCATAATTTAAATCTTTATATTTCTGTTTATTATTATTATTTTTATCTATTTTAATTTTAAATTTATTGGTTGGAAATAACAAAAATCAATGCAATTAAATGTTTTTTTCTTTTTATTTTAAAAATTGTATAAAATTTTTGTACAATTTATTTCAGAAAAATGAACTTGTATCAGCTTGTAAGAAGCTCTTTTAAATACATCGTACATTTGACTTAAAATGATCTAATTCTTTTATTTTTAGTATCGGTACTAAAATTTTATAATGCTATTATTTATAATGCATGTTTTAATGTTTAGAATTTATCAATATGTTTTCTAATAAACATATCCACCGTTGTTGTCAACAAGTTGTTGGGTTTCTTTGTTAGCTGTTGGCTGTGGATGTTGGTGTTGTTGATGTTGGTGTTGATGTTGGTGTTGTTGATGTTGGTGCTCTTGAGGTTGGTGTTGATATTGGTGTTCTTGATGTGGGTGTTGTTGATGGAGTTCATGATGCTCATGATGATGATTTTCAACAACGACTGATTGAGTGTCAGTAACTGGTTCGTCTGCCTGTTTGACAACTGGAGCTGATTGGACAGGTGTTGATTCAACTTTTTCATTAGTTTGGGTTCCAAAACCAGGGAAGTTAAATCCATTGGTATTGAAATTGGAAACGAAGTTTTCGTAATTTTCGCCAAAGTTACTGAAATTGTCAGTAAAGCCTTGGGTAGCTGTTGAGAAGTCTGGGACTTGAGGAACTTCAAAGTTGGGGAACGAGGCGGGGAAGTTCGGGATAGATGGGAAAGGGCCTGATGGTGCTTCTCCTACTGATTCGTCACGAACGACGGTCGTGTATTCATGTAGAAGTGTAGCTGGTACAGTTTCAACGGTAACTGTTGGAATAAATCATGTTATGAATTCTTTATTTATTAAGATTTTAGATTTTAAGATATTAATATATAATTTTGTTTGTAAATTACCTTGGTTCTTTTGTACAGGCCGGGATTCGGGAACAAATTGTAATTTAGGGACTGATGTAGCTGGTGATCGAACAGTTGGTTCCAAGTATGCGTTATTAACTTTAGGTTGGTCATATAACACCTTAGTATTGACAGTGGCTTCTGGCTTCTTACTTTCAATTACTGGGGTGAGGTAGCTTCTGGTTGGTTGTTGAACTGTTTGCATTGTTTCATGATGATGATGATGATGATGATGATTAACGTTAGTACTGATTGGGCTTCCATAGGAGTCAATTGGTTGACTAACAGTGGGTGTGACTTTAGTTGTAATCGGTGCGGAGGGTTGAGAACCTGAATAATGGTGATGTTCTTGTTGGGTTGGAACTCCATAAGTGGGTGCTGGTACGTGATGATAGTGATTGTGCACCTAAAATCAATAGAAATAATACTTTAGCTTCAGAAAATAATTTATAAGGAAAAATATGTATTTTATAAATGAATTTCTGATATATGATAATGAAACTAGAATGAAATTATACTTTTTAGTAACTCGTAAATGTTGATTTATTTTAAATTAGTAGTAAAATGATATAGAAAGATATGAATATGATTCAATTACTTGAGCTGGTTGTTGGTAAGTTCCAGCGAAAACAGGAGTATTTTGAGGTCCAAGAGGAGTACCGGGTTGGTAACCAGGTGGTCCATAAACTGGAGCGGGTGCCAAGTAAGATCCAACGTAGTTTCCAGTAGCTTTGCTTACTTGAACTTGACCGTGAGAATGATCATGGTGGTCACCATGAACATGATGATGGTGATGATGATAATCTGTACCATATCGTGGATCTCCAGGAAGAATATCTCTTCGTACTCGCCTTACCACTGGTACAGCAAGAGATGAACCCACTAAGAGCACCTAATTTTAACAATTATTTAATCGATTTAATTTCATCTTTTAGAGTAGTGAACAATAAATAAATATTGTAGTAAGTTATTTTTTCAACGCACTCACCACTGATACTAAAAGAAACTTCATGTTGATAGCACGGAGTTTCAATGACAGTTGAACACTTTGGGAAGAAGATTTCGACTTTTTATACGCATCCAAACTCTTCCCCTTCTTTTATGGATTTCGTAATTCTCGTGGCATTGGAAGAACTAGATATGAAGGTGTTTTTTATATCGAATTTTTTCATCTTCTACTCTCTGTCGCATTGAATCTTTCGATGATCTTGAATGCCGAATCTTCGAAATTTTAAAAAAGTTATCTTCTAAATGTGCAATTTTCTTAATTAGGCACTAGTTCTTCAGTTTATCTTTTTTACTTTGAATGTAAACATATCAATAATAATAACATATTTAGTTGTTAATTTAAATCTTATTTTCACTATTTAAGCTATTTTTATGAATTAATCATAACAATAATTAATCATTTAATCATTCGATTAAATGAGTAATTATTTTAAATATTGCGAAGGTTCTTTGTAATAAATAAAACTATTTATCAATTTAACATAAACATTTTATAAATTATTTATTAAAAAGCTTTTAAGATATTTACTATACAAAAATAACAACTAAATAAATTAGTGTACGTAAAAGTGTTAATAAGTAACTAAAAATTAGAAACATTTTTCAGGATATTTCTCAATTTCTTCGTGTGAATTTTCGTTGATTTCTTTTAAATAAATATTTATTTATGGATTGAAATACATATTTTTCCTTGTGTCATGGAGGCCCTTATGGGATTCTTTAATGAATATAATAATACTATAGATGACGAAAATTGTTTCTTTCCGATCCGTGAAAGGGCAACGTGAAAGTATAATTATTTGACGACTATCACCTACACTGGATAGACCTATGGTCCCTGCAGATGAGAGACTATATTAGAATTCATGTCCTAATAATTGTACTTTCTAAGATATGGTCAGTTTCCAAATAGTTAATTTGCATCATGTGATCAATGAAGGCAATCGTTGACAAATGTCTGAGAATTTAAGAAATGGTAAAGGAATCTTCTCTCATCTTTTTCATTCGAATTTTTATGATTCTAGTATCAACTCCTTGAGTATTCTAGTAATTTCTTTTTTCTTCATCTAACTTATGTTGAATAATCATTATTATTTTAATATACGCATTAAAATTATTGAAATTTAGTTTGCAAATATAATACGCAAGATGTGCGAAATTTTATAGATTGAATACATATTGCGAAATTACTAAAAACTGCCAACGTTTCGAAGTTAGATTTATAAATTATTATTACTATCCTTGAGACTAAACAAAACTTTCATTAGTTTTATTACACTTATTTGAATTATTTATCAATATTTTTGAACTTTTACCGGTTTTTATTTCATTTTTGTTATTTATGTCAGAAATGATTTCATAATTTTGAGAATGAAAATAATTTTCTTTGGGGAAATTTTGATAAATATTTCCTATTACATTAATAGAAGTTATAAAAATAAGAAATAAGTTTGATTGGATTTAATTTTATACTTAAAAATGTTTTCTCTAAATAATATAGGATTCCTTTGACAGCTGCTGGAATATAAAAAGTATATTAAGAATGAATTAAGGTACTGACCATTAGTTGGCATTTACTCTATGTTATTTTTAAGTAGAAGATTTATAGAATAATAATGAGTTATATTCATTCACAATGAGTTTTTTATAAAAAAAAAATTCTTATTTTAAGAAAGTTTCTTTTATTTTGTTTCCGTTAGTGTTTCATTATAATTGTATTAATTATATTTTTATAAATTATGAAAAATTAATTTGAAGTAAACATATTCATTAAAAGAATACAGTTTTTTCATCAAACATTACAAAATTTAAATTTTGAATCGAGTTCGCAAAGTAGTATATGATCGAATAGATCGACCTTGAAAATCCAAAATGAATTCCTTACATGATTTATTTTTGATACGTCTTTTTAGAAGAAATAATTTATTTTCTTTTGTATCAAACAATATATGGACACATATTGGTTATTCAAACATCAAATATCAAACAAAAGAAATTTTTTTCAAAATTCAATTTTTAATTAATTATAAAATAATGTTTAAAAATAAAGATAGAATCAGATTAATAAAAAATTATGGGAGTAAAAAGAACAATAAAAATTCCGTATCGATCGCCAGAATCAAACAGGATCTTGATGGTGTCAAAGGTTTTTTCAAGGTGATCTGTATATAATAACGATCTTGTTAAAAAATAGTCTGATTTAAAAAGATTACAAAAAATTCATATTTTAGCTGATAATTTATATACAGAATATTTTTAGACATAGTCCGATGATATTACTGAAATAATTAAAAAATTAATAGAATTTTTTCATGTTTTTTTAACAATAAAAAATTTTATGACCCATGAAACGGAAAAAAGAAGATCATCTTCCAAAAATTTATACATAAAAACCTCTGTCAAATATTTTGCTGATATGTATTTTGTTATGATATCAACAATTAAATTGAATGGAAGATGGAAATAGAATGGATCCCAACGAATCATGTTTCAAGTTCCGGTGTTGAATCCTTTCACCGTTCTCTTCTAATCTCCAATTTACTACGTAACAGTTTGATTTTATATTATTCACTCTTTTTCTACCGTTTATTGTGAAAAACAAAATAATCCTGGTTGACCATTAAAATCCCAATAACTGAAATAAAAATTCATTAGTATCAATAAATAATTAAATATTAGATATCTTAAGAGATTACTAAATATTTAGTATCATAGTTTTTTTTAATTTACAATAGAATTGTCCAATGCGGAACTAGTTAATACTTTTTTTCAAAAAAAAGAAAGATCAGCACTCGCCTAGTGAGTGTAGAAAGAAAGTGTTTTCTTCGTGAATGTCAGTGATAGTCTCAGTATATAAACCAACATCCTTTATTTCATAGCCAGTGTGATATAGTTTTACGAAGAAGGTCAATAATTCAAGTACAGAAAATATGATATCGTTTGTAAGTAAATATTAATAAAAACTATTACAGAATATTTTATAAAAAGAGTTTAATTTTGATGTAAATATTAGTAATATTGATAGTTGAAAAACTATTTACATTTATATTTAAAAATTTTATGACTGTTTTAGTTGACATTTACATTACTATCTGTTGGATGTTACGCCTCTCATTATTCGTACCCACAAAATCATGGATTCTCTAGTCCAAAATTAGTGTCTCAGTCAGTTAATTTTGAAGATGTGCCAACAAAAGTTATCAAGATTACAAAAACTGTCGCTGTGAAAGTACCGGTTCCTTATCCAGTCAAGGTAATTTGAAACCATTGACTATACAATTTCATTCATTTATTATTTAATATCTTTCTTAATTAATTAAATAGTTTACTTTTATTTCCTTAATAATATGATATTATTAATAATATTCGCAAAATTTTTTTCTTCATAAGTGATTATTATTACAAGGATTTTTTTACTTTAGGTTCCATATCATGTTCCCGTTCCTGTACCAGTGAATCATCCAGTACCGGTACCAGTGCCACAGATAGTGAAAGTGCCTGAACATGTGCCGTATCAAGTCTCAAAACATATACCTGTAGAGCTTCCTCAGCAAGTTCCTTTTTTTATTACAAAAACTGTTTCTATACCACAACCCCTACCTGTTCCTCATCCAGTTAAGATTGTTCAACCATTACCCTATCCAGTTTCACACCCAGTTCCCGTTTCTAATAACTATCAATCTAATCATGAAAGCTCGGATTATAATCAAGTATCAACTGAAGGATATCAAGAACAAAATGAATCATATTCTGACACTTCTCATTCAGAAGACAAAAACTAATGAAATGAAAAATTATTTGTTTCAATTTTTTATTTGAATTGTTGTTTTATTAATTTTTTTGTTGATTATTATAGTAAATTTTTATTAAATTTAAGAAATTATTTTTTTTTAAATGTAGGAGTAATTTTATGTTTAAAAACATTTTTAAATTATTTACCACGTTGAATGTTTGTTGAGATTAGAATATTTTTCGTAAACATTTGGAGATGATGCCGATGGAGCAGCAATGTATGTAGAGACTTGTGAAGGTACATGTTTGAGATATGACACTGAATAGGGTTGAGCAAGTTTTATCACAATTGGAGTTTTTGGTACCTCGGCAGAGTAGACATGATCAACAGTTTTTGTATATGGCGGTACCTATAAAATGTTCAAAATTATTTATTACAAGGTTGTTAATAAAAAAAAAATTTATTTTTACAAAAAATTTCTTCAGAAATATTTATTTCAACTATTCCCCAACAAAAAATTGTAATGTTTAAAACATGTAATCATTTTATTGGAAATGAAGTAATTTAAGACTCTTTAGAAAGAAAAAAAAATTGTATTCTTATCAATAACACCAATAAAATCAAGTTAACTTACTTGAACGTATTTTTTAACAGGAAGAGTCAGTGATTGATGCACTAAAGGTAGAGAAACTTCTTTTGTAATAATTGACTGAAGTCCAGCAGTTACTTCTGGAGAATAAGGAGGATAGATGTATTCAAAGTCAGGTGTAGAATCGAAACCATATCCATATCCGAATTCTATTAATCCTCTCTTATTTTTGGCTCCATTTGAATTATCCGGTTGTTCTTTGGAGTTATTACTTCCTGCTGCGGCTATTGCTACTAAAGCGAAAAAGATGATTATCTAAAATAAAAAATAAAATGAAAAAGTAAGTAAAACATTTCTGATTAAATTTTATATGAAGTCAAGATTTTGTCAAGTTTCTCTTTACTTAAAATTGGTAAAAAAAAAGTTTTATAAATACACTATACCTTCGATTGCATGATGATACTTGGAGATTTGAAACTGTGATGATTTGGATGATGGTCGTGGTTTTTATACTTTAGTTATACCCCCAACACCCTCTAATGCTCGTTAGAATTATTTATTTTATTGCCATAGATGGAGAAAGAACATATCTTTCAATGTCATTCAAGTTAATTTCTTGCGTCACTATGGTCACCAAAAGAGATAATCTCAAATATTTCAATAATTAATTTATACATTTAAAGTCAGGTAAACAAGACATAATATAGAGAAAAATGGTCCCATATTATTAGTATCTTACGCGTCAATAGAGCTTATTGATATCATCTATGACGTAAACTATAAATTCGCTAAGTGACATGGAAACATAAAGAACCTGTAGTAATATGTAGAGTCCGTAACTCTTCATTTTACTATTATTTTATGTTAATCAGTTTTTAATAGCGAAAAGTACTTTCCAATTATTTTTTTTCAAAATTATTCTTGGAAATGAATTTTTTTAGGAAAAATAATCTATGTATTGTAAGAAGAAAGGAATACAAGAAAAATTATCGATGTAGATTGTTTTAATCAATATCTCAACTTAAATTTAATATTTGAAAAATAATTTAAAAAATTACAATTAGAAAGTAGTACTTAATTAAAAATAATAATAATGATAATACAACTTTTATACGAAAAACATGACAAAAGTCAATTTATTTATCATCAATGAAATTTTCTAAAATTTTAAAATCTAAATAAAAGACAGAGTATTTTGGTTGATTGCATATGTCGTGATAAACGAACAATGCTAATGCAGGCGATTTGGTGTCGAGATATTCATTCTTGACAAGTGGGTTGTAATTTATATATGAAAAAAGGTGAAGTATAAAAGTGAATTTGGTGATTAATCGCTAAAATGTTTATTTAGCATCTTCAATAGTATCCATGTCCATATCCGTGTCCGTATCCGTGTCCGTATCCATGTCCATATCCGTGTCCATGAGCCTGAACATAAACGGGAACGTGTTCTTTAACGACGACGGGTTGAGGGACTGGAACTGGAACTGGGTGGGGTTCAGGTACCTGCAATTGATTCAGTTTCATGTTATTCATGCAACACAATTATTAACCTATTATATTATCTTATTTAATAATCTTTAAAGTGTTGCAATTTTTACTTACTTTAACTGGGTAGGGAGCTGGTACTGGTACTTTGACAGGGTAAGGTCTGTCAACTGGAACATGAACTGTTTGGGTCTTAACAACAGGGTATGGGGCTGGGACAGGTACAGCGACTGGTACTGGTTTGGGTACAGCTACTGGTACCTGAAAAACAATAGACATTGTTTATTGTAGTGCATATTATTTTAACGATTATTCCTTTGGTTATGTAAATTTGCTATATTAATAAGAATTATTACTAATAAGGGACTCATTACCACAAAATTTACCATAAACTAATAAAAATAGTTACAATGGTTTCATTGTTTAGATAAATACAAATAAAAAGTGGCCAATATCTGGTAAGTAATAATGTGTTATATAACAAAAAGTTATTTAGTAAAAGTTTAAACAATTAAATTATTTAAACATAAAAAATCCTCTCAAAAAGAGTGATTAGTTTTCAATAATGAATGTATTGTTGTTTAAATAATGCAACTTAAATATTATTAGATTTCGAACCCTACTTAAATTCCATTAAAACGATTGTTAACGTATAGTTCAGTTAGAACAATTTGTTACTCTTATTAAAATGATTTATTTAAATTTACCTTAACAGGGTAGGGACGATCAACTGGAACGGGGTAGGGTTTGGGTACAGCAACAGGGACTGGGACAGCAGCAACATGGACAGAATGACCGTGGTCACCATACCCATGTCCATATCCATGTCCATAGCCACCATAATCTCCAGCCCATCCGTATCCAAGGCTGAGACCAAGACCTCGTTTCTGGACCGTCTTTTCTTCTTCGGCGTAGGCCAAAGCCACGAGCATCAAACAGATCTAGAAATAATTGGATGGTAAAAAATGATTATTTAATTATTAAAAATTATACTATAAAATTGATGACAAAAACTACTTTAAAATCAAATCTACAAACTTATTTTGTCAAAAAAAATAAAAAGTAAGATTCTTATAACATACCAAGACCTTCATGATTAATTGAACGGCAACTTGTGTGTCGATCGGTTTAAATTGTTCTGTTGATATTGAACAAAACTACCCTTTATATAGGGAATTGACTTTCATTTACTCTAACACCCTGCCATGTAAGAACCAATAGACGTTGGTCCTTCTAATGCCACACCTACTTACTTATACTTTACACGCATTTACTTACTCTGTACGATCTATTACTTCTAGATCTACTTGATATCTTTGTATAATAATACATATAAAACACAGACATTTAAGCGACACTGTTGTATAACACATGACCAAATGATCGTTTCTTGCTATGTGAATGCATCGTGATACCTCGTACCCTGTGTGTCATGCTTTCCAGTGTAAACCACAATTTCTATTCTTTTATCTTCTGCTTTTTTCACTTCCGTAATATCACATTTTTAGCCCCTAGCACTGTAAGTTTGATAACAACATTTCAAGTTTTAATCAGAAAAAATCCATTTCTTTCATATTATTAATATTATCAATAACTTATGTAAATAATTGAAACAAGTAATATTTTTTAAAAATTTTATTATACTTATTGCACTTTTTTTGCATAAACTTTTTTATCACTAATTGTGTACGGTAGATAACGTTTAGTTAGAAAAGTTGTGAGGAATTCTGAAGGGATTTTTTCTAGAACAAAAGTATCTTAATTATACGCCTTGTCTAGTTTGTATTTAATACAATGATGATTGGAAGTGAATGATTTTTGCAATGGCGGAAGTCTTGCCCCTAAGACCATGCAAGTAATGCAACACGTTTAAAATTATGTAGACCGGTGAGATATTATATTTTTCAGCCTATTTATCAAGCTAACACGCCTACTAACAGTATCCCTTTGATTGTATTCTAATTTCAGCTCTTGTTTTTAAATATTCTATAATTTTATTTAAAGTAAATTAGGTAGTCGTGATAAATACGATACCATGTAAATATATTTTTTAATAAATAGATTAACAGTCATAATTTTTATATGATTCTTATCACAATAATTTAATATCTTTGTCTCTTTCACCGCAACTTATTTTACGTAATGCATAAAATAAAGTTGAGGTCGTACACGTGCGTATGATTGAGAAAATAATATACACTTTGAGGACTATTATAATATTATTAAAATAATTATCATAATTTTTAGTTAACCAGTATTATAAAAGTTATTGAAATAAAGAGATGTATTAATTAAGTCACATTGGGGACTGATTTAATAACGACGAATAAAGAAAGTTTATTTAATTATTAATCAAAAAGGCTATTATGTAAAGCATACACAATGGAAAGCAGACATAGAGAATCGTTTATGCTAGTTTGTTTTGTAATTATCAATTGTACACATTGTTTAGAAACAGCAGAAATACCTTGAGAAATCTAAAAGGATAAATATGCAGAGAATTGATACAAATTTGCGGAGTGATAGGGCGATCGAATGCACGCACAGCCACAAACATGTGGCTGGAATTTACGAAAGAAAAGAGTTAAGGTATTATAATTATAAGTATGTATTTTAAAAGTATAATATAAGAACATGTAGGTAAGTAAGAATGTGCCGTCTAGGGTATACTAAGTTCTATACTCGTGAGAACAAGATCCGCGTCACAGGGCGCACCTTGAATTTATTTAGAATCATAGAAAAGATCATATAAACGTACATGCTACAATCACAGAAGGTATGATCTTTATATTTAACTAAGATAATTGATATCTTGAGAGTATACATGTTTGTTAATTAAAAAAATTTTTGTAAGATCGTATACAATTGTTCCTCATTGACGGTTGAGATGCAAGAATGATACATGAGCGAATATAATATACATGATGTAAAAATAATAATAAATCAGTATATGTGTACACGAGAACCCGTTAACGAGGACTGAACAATACAATAGCAAGGTTGAATGTTGATCTAGTCAACACAGTGTATTATAAGAGAGCATAAATTCATTTAATAGAACAACCTCTGTGACCATGACACAGACAATTCTTATCGTAGGTTAATAGTTTAGTTATTAATAATAATGTTGAACTGTCATTTACTCCTTTTCATTCATTCATTAATCCGTCTTTCGAGATGTGCTGTTTTTTTATCAATTTTAATAACCCATAACATTTTGATTTAGTTGTAATAGTAGGTATTAGCTTTTTATTATATCATGGAGATCCATTGAAGAAGAGTTAGAGCCAAAAATTTCAAAAAAACAAAATAAGTGTTTATTATAAGATATTAGCGTTGAAAATTCTATTTATATTACACAGATTATCTCTTTAACAAATTATTTATTCATCAATTATATTTAGTGATATACTTTTCACCTAGACCTTGGAAAGTTATGTAATTAGCATTTAGTAAAACGTTTTATTTTTAATAGTTGAGAAAAATAATCTTAATATCGATTACTATGAAAATTTGATAATTTAATATTCAAATGAATATCTCCGTGTATTTAAGTAATCAGTTAATTGATGAATACGATGGACGTTTCTGGGTAAATCTTAACAGCGATCGATAGATAATTAGCATATATCGTAATAGACATAAAACGTAAGAGTGGCTGGCACCGAGTGGTGGAGAATAGACAAGATAGTGCACGTATCTTGTAAACCGGATCGATATGTTATTAATTCCGAAAAGACATGTAGCACATAATAGCATTGTGTATCAGCATACAGATATGGATAGATATAATGAAAAAAAGTTTGTTGTTAAAAATGGATCAAAGAGGACAAAAGTTATCTCTAAGTGATATAAAGTAAGATACCTGCGGCAGCGATTGATTAATACTAATAAATGGATGCATTGAATACTCATTTGATTATTTTCTGATGTAATAATGTATAATTTCGTAAGTATATTTGTTCGAGAAACTGTGTCGTTTCGCTCTATAAAATCGCATATTAATTAGTTCTCTTATATACTCTTGCGTTTGTGTAGTTAATTCCATTTATTCATATTTATGTCTTCATAAAAAATTTCCTTTATGTCACATTACTTCAAAAATAATAGTTATTTCATCATTTGAAATTATACTATTCATTGGCATAAGTTTAAAGTATAACTACTTCTTAAGTAAATGAAACGTTTTGATTCTAATACTCATAGGATTGGAGTTTAAGTTCAACTTGATTACAATAATTTCATCGATTAATCGAGCAAGTCGGATTTAAGTGAAAAAGGATTAAAAGAAGAAACCCCACGTAGAAAGTTTCAAATGAAATAGAAAGCGGAAGTGCAAACGTTTTATTCGATCGAAGTAAATTGATAGCGTTAATTCTGTTGTTACTTCTGTATACAGGTGAGGGTGTGTCAATCTCATCGATTATACAAATGCAAATCTCTGTTCATGTTGTAATACTCACTATGATGTTGCGTTAAAAAGGAATGTAAGTAAATGTTTGTAAGAGATTTATTTTTCATATAAATTATAGAAACGTCTAAATAATGTTTGTTATCAACCTTTTATACCGAATAAAGTGTTGAATTTATTAACAACATTTAAATTCATATTGTAGATAAATATTAAATAGAGATGTAATTCCCATCAGAAAAATCAGTAGAAAAAAAATATATGAGTATAAAGATTTTTTTCGGTCTTAAGAAGCTTTAAATAATACCGAGTACTTGTATTAAAGGAGATACAAATAATTACGTAATAAACGGAGCACATAAAGAGTTACGTGGGTAAAGGTAATAGAATATGTACATAGTACTCGCGTTCGCTCAACCGTAACTTCTATACGGTGACGTTATGTGGGATAACAGTCCCCTATATCACCATATCCGTATCCTTTTGGCGTGGGCAATATAATAGCTTACGTGGGTAATTGCATGGGACTATTTAGTGCAGTTTAGTAAAAAGATGAACTTGTCTCTAGACAGATACAAAAATTATTGTTAATTAATTATACATTTCTTTGTCTTTTTTTTTTGAAACTTAGAAATAAGCGATATACTTACCATAATAATATAAGATTCGAGTTCATTATCATATTGATAAATTACCATTAATGTCTTGTCAGAAATGTTGACGTGTGAAATGATATTCTATGGAAAATTTAAAGACTAAAATTTATCATATGACTTAAATCAGTTAGAAATGTGTCTTATGAAAGATTATTCATAATGATGTGATTAATTATGGGCCTAATTGGATTTCAACTTGTTTGAAGAATTAGTCATTATCCGGTTTTCTAACCATTATATTAAAATGAGAAACGTATTTTATCTGGAGTATGAGTATGAGTACCTGTTTAACCTCTGATAAGAGAGACATAGAAGTAATTAAATAAAACTTTTACTAACTTAGCAATAAAGTAATCACGAAAATTACTAATAGTACATTTGCGTGCATTCAATCAACATAATCTGACACAACAGCATTGGATTTATTCAGTAAACTGGAATTACACCAACAGTTTTTTAAATTAAACTTTTTACAAAGAAAAATATTATCATGTATCATTGTAACAAATAAATATACGTCTTATCACTCGTAGAATAAATAAATAAATAAATAAGTATATAAATATAAAAATCAATAATTAAAAAATGATATCACCAATAATTGGGAAACTTTTGTCTAATTGACAAAATTTTTAAGTTTCATTGTCACTGTCGATCACTGATGATTCGGATGAATCTTCAATCGGCCACTTACCAGCAGTTGCTGCTGGATCCACAGTGGAGGGAGGATCGGTTATTATTATTGGCTCCAGGGGCTCTATTGTTACCCCATTAACTCCCTCGTCCTTTATTACCTCTTTGTCAGCGTCTAAATGACCTTGATGTGAATTAACAAAGGTTTTATTGAATTTCGAATCAACTTCCCCTTGTGGTTTAAAAGCTTCTGAATTTTGTGTCATTGTCATCAAGCTAAATTGATCTGCCACTGGAGGCGTTAAATCTGTTGCCGGTTCGACTGTTTCTATTTGACATTGGCGTCCAGTGTAGCCCAAGGGACAAATGCATCTATATGCGTTTTAAAAAAATATTAAATATAAAAAATTAATATTATAAATATTTTGATAGTAATTTTAATATTAATTAAAGTAAGATGTATACATACATTGATGTAGAAAATACAAACCTGTAATTGCCATCAGCTTTCGTCATGCTCACACACGTTCCATTGTTTCTACATGTATCAGGATGCTCATCACAGAAAGTTAGCTTTTCATCACACAAATCACCTGTCCACCCAGGTTGACATCTACATTCCCATGGCTTTCGACATGTACCATGAACGCATCCGGGATAAGGAACACATTCAGTGCAATTCGAGCCAGTCCAGCCAACTCGACACCTGCAGGTTCCGGGCTTGCGACATCCACCATTTTCTCTACTACATCCTGGTGAGCAGATTGCTGGGAAATTTATATTTCAATTTATTCCACATATTGATTAATATTAATAACCCAATTAAATTTTATTAACTTTCAAAGAGTCTATTTTTCGATTCTTAAATTAATTTCATTTTATTGTTAATAAAATTGTAAATTTTATGCTTACGTGTTTGACATAGGAATCCTGTCCATCCAGGTTCGCAACGACACTCGAGAGGTCCTTGACAGGTTCCATGATCACATCCTGGAAGAACAGCACACTGTTTACACTTGGGCCCTTGCCAACCAAGTCGACATTTACATTCTCCTGGCTTCTCGCAATATCCTTGACTAGGGTGACAATCAGGATCACAAATTGGCTCTGAACAGAAAAGTCCTTTCCATCCAGGATCGCAGGCACATTCAAAGCTCACATTACACCTATACAAGTATTAATAAATTTTATTTTATATTCAACAATAAATTATTAGCAATTATTACGTCAATAAAAAATACAATAAAAGTCATCAAATAGTTTTAGAGAATGCTCTAAAAGAATTAAAAAGAAAATTCTAGATACATTTCACTATTTAATTGACAGAGTATATAAAGCGATACCGTTAGACAAGTAGTCGTGAAGACCGAAGAGGTTGATCACCCGTCCGAGGGTCAATGGCGTTGCTTCGTCCATTTAAAATTCACAAGACTACTTATTAATTTTACTAGATCATTTTTAACGGTATGAAATGAATATAAATACCTGCCATGTTGACATCCTGGAAGAGCAACACACTTATCACACAGTTCGCCGTAAAAGCCTAGTTTGCATCGACATTCGCCTGGTCTTCGACAATATCCCTGAAGGGGATCACAACCTTTTCGACACAAAGGTACGTCACAAAGATCTCCAATCCAACCTTAATTAAATATTAAATTACAACTTTAATAAATAGCTATTTTAATATGCGACTCTTTTATTATTGGAAAGAAATATAAAAGAAAATAAAATGAAGTCGTACCTGGAAGGCATTTTACCTCACCAGCTTCATCACAAACATAATGGGATCCTGGATGTTGCGCAGCTGGAATTTCGCACGCTTGTTTTTTCCATTTCGGAACATATCTAAGAAATCATTCAAGGTAAAAACTTTAAACTAAAATCTCTTCAAAATTGAGTTTATTCTTTCATTATTTTAAAATACTTTTTTGCCCGATTCATTTTATACCTCGGTCCTACAGAAAATCCACTTGGAAGACTGGAAAATATTAAAGCAGTAGCAAAACCAAATGTAACTAGACCTGTGTTGTCAACTGGTGCAACAACTACTGGAGAAACACCAAAGATAAATGGTAATGATAAGAACCCGAGAAGAGGTATCATCTTCACTCGACTTGCCGGTTAAGACTAAGCGTAGAGAGTCCATGGCAATGGAAGGATAACGGGACCTAGAGTTCGAGGTCACGACATACTTTTCTGCTTAAGAGTTTAAGGTAAGAGATAAGCTTGGTGATATTAACGAGTTGCAAATTTTCTCTAATATTTGCATACGTGATTATTTGAAAATTTATATTTCAACTTTCATACCTAAACATAATGATTAGAGTTTAAAAAATCAGATGAGTTTTTTATTAAAAAATTAGAATATTGATAGTTGATAGGATTGCGAATAATAAAAATTGAGAACGTATTTAATTGTTTAATAATTAAGTAATTTGTTACTTTTTATTTATATAATTATTTATAATAGATTATTTAATTATCAATTATACATACATTTTATATACAATAGTTTTTTCATTTAACTATTTACAAATAAATACATGAGTTTTTATCAATTGTTAATAGTCATCTGGATTTTATATGTTATACATAATAATAAAATAATATTCTTATACAGTCTATTTTTCTCAAAGTTGAGCAAGTCATTAATAAGAAGACAATGTTCACAGGTGCTAGAACTTTACAATATATTATTGTAAATTATTTTGGAATCGTTTAACGTTAACTGTACACTATTTACAGTAAACTAAGGTTTTTTACCCAAGTTTTTTTTAAATATTATTATATTTAAAGAAAATTTTATACGTTTTCTTCATTGAATTCTTTACTTTTACTCCTCAAAACTAATTTCATGAGTATTACTATGAATATTACAATAAATGCACAAGCCGCGGCTGAGAGAATTGCCATAGGCTGTATATTTTCGAAGTTTTTTTTTATTTTCCACACATGGACTGAGGTAGGTCGAGTATCGATTTCAATAGGGAAACTTCCAGGGCCATCATTTGATGCAATTCTTACGAGGTATTTGGTACCAGGCAGTAACGAAATTTGTGCTGATCTTGTATCGACTACTTGATTGCCCATTAATCCACCAGTTTCAGGCTCCCAAGAGACAACATAAGATTCTCCTTCACCATCCGAAGCTTCGAGGAATTTGTTTTGTTTAAAAGAGTTCGATAGGTCTCCAGAATTAATGTCTTCACCTTCAGATCTCCTCTTGAAGAAAAATCTGCGGAAAACTTCTTCAGGAATTGGAGAATCTTGACTATCTCTCCATTCAACGAGAACTTTTTCTCCGTATTTTTCCAAATAAAACTGTCTAACTCTATCATTGAATTTTTTTTGCTCCAATTCTCTTTGCCTTTGAATTTGTATGTCGACGTCACGCCAAGAAAGTGTTGCCTCAACTAATGGGCCTTCTTTAAGAGATTCCAAAGTTGGAGTCCACTCCTCCCAGCTGAAGTGTTTTATGCCATCTTCAAGAACAGCCACGATCCATGTATCTGCTCTGAGAAGAGGTACACGAGTACCTGGGTAGTATCCATACTCCTTCCACACATTAGACGCTTTACGCAGTAAAATAGCAATGTCATGCTGTCCAATTTTTATTGGTCCTTTAGCTGGCGCTGGAAGACTTGACGGTAGATATTCCTCTTCCACTCTTGTCTTTCGGTACAGACAAGCTGTTTGACACGCTGGACACTGTGAACATGAAATAGAAAATTCTAAGTCAGCATGAGATGTTTTAACTTTGAAAAAAAAACTTGAGCAACAAATAAAATACTTGAACATGATTGCTATTATCATTATAAAGTTAAAATGAATTTTTATTATTTATTTTAATCAACTACTATTCAAATAAAATATTTTCATTTATTATTTTCAATAATAAAAATTTTTCTTTTGTTAAATTTTACCAAAAGGAAAACAATAAACTTTTAATTCAAAAGTCCATTGTTTAGAAATTATTTGATGCAAGGTTTTGTTAAATTGTTTTTTTTGTTTGTTGAGAAATAGTTTTTTTTTGTTTAAAAATATATGAATCTATCAAGCACAAAAATCTGTCACATTGTAAGACAAAGCGTGATAGACAGAAAAAAATTACAAGCATAACTAAAATAAAAGCAATCTGAAAAGAATAAGCGAGGGACAAAGAGAAAGAGAAAAAAAAACTTTAGGTCTTGATTGCTGAGAGCGATAGATGGAATAATGGTGGTTCCAGGCTATTTTAACTAATTAACGACCTTCTAAATCTTTGACCCAACATATTTGATGCATCGTAATATATATCTATATATATTTAGGTCATAAAAAACAATAAAGAGTCTTGTGTATTCAAATAAAAGTCATGTGTGTTTCATAATATTTCATGGATAAAACTGTGAAAAACTGGAATTCTGTTTTTTTTTTGTCTCGTATTCTCAAGTGAAACTCTCAAGATCTTGACAAGATCTTGGTGCAGTAGTAGTCATAATGCGGTGGTGAACCATTTAGTGTTCACAGCATTCTATGGGTAAAAGATTTAGATCTGAAAGTGGCGGGAATAGGCCGTGGAGAAGAAAAAAAAACTAAGAAATAAAATTGGTTTCGGGTCCTCGGAGGTTGGATTCATTCTTCCGTGAAAATCAGCAGGTAGTGAGGGACTCTGGGGGCTTTTCACTGTCGATATGAGAGCAAGTAGTAGGCACTATTCTTTCTCTTCTTTACATATTCAAGTTGAGAAAAAGAATTTGAGGTAACAAAAGTTAAAGATCTGGCGTATTTGACAAAATAGATTGGTCCATGGGTACTAAATGTCCTGAACGATACAATTTTTGCAGTTTCAAAGGATCGATTTTCTCGCTTCACTTGACGATTTTAAAATTTTCAACGGATAATCTAATAGGAAATGACGTAAAAGGTCGCTCTAACTTCCGTAGGGTTTTAGAGATAATTTATGTTTTTTTCTTCTTTTCTATTATTTCATTTTTTTTCACGGAGAGAAGATAATTATAGATGGTAACTAAGTATTGAATAAGAGTTGAAATTATATAAATGACTTCTTGGAAACTGAAAAATTTCTTCTTACTTTTATCATTACAGTGACCAGAAAATTTTACAGAAACTGATTTATATTAAGAGAGTCTTTTTCCTGATTATAGGACAATAGTGGAAAAATAGGCTCAAGGTAAAGAAGTCACATTTTGTGTAATATAAAATTAAACGCTGAATCATTAATTTATTATCTGTGAAATAATAAAACTTTTTGTTAATTTTTTTCAACTTTGCTCTTTATTAGTCACGGAATTTGACAGAAAATTTTTTAATGATTTGGTAATAAATACTTTTATTATTACTTTACTTTTATTATACTTTTATTATTTTCAATAATATTCCTCATGTTTTATTCAATAATTATTATGAATTCTGATTTCAGGATTATTTGTGTATGATGCAATTGACAATATTATTCTAAACGTGGATTTTTGAATTGATATTCTTAATTCTTGAAAAAGTATGAACTATTAATCAATTTTTATTTTGAAAAAATCGATGCCCAACTTGAAAAAAAAATTGACAATTTATTCAAACTATGTATCTACACTTGAATACTAGTATGCCATTTTTAATACATAAATCGTGAAAGGATTTTAAAAATAAAATTTGACGAAATAATAATCAGAAAATAAGGTAATTGGGCTAATAATAATTTATGTGTTGAAAATTGATTTTACAATTATCGTATTATAGCTGGAGGGTTTGAATGAGGACATGTATTTCATTAGTCCGACAAATAACTGACATATAATTGTAACTAAAGTGATTGATAATAAGTCGAGGGGTTAGTTGTAACTATAAATTAAGTAAGAAGGGGGGAGCAAAATTTATCGAATTTATTAAAAGATAAAATAATTCAAAGGACTCTTGGGTAGATCTACTAACGAGATACAACGAGACATATAAAACTCGCAGGCAAATGAGTCGCATCTCTCAAAACAAACATGGCCATAACTCGTACTTTATTTCTTTCTCTCTCTCTTATTTTTCCCTCGCGGGAATGAAAAAATAATAAAAGCTTGTAAAATAAAAAAGAAATGGAAATATACTCACACGAAGATATTCGTCTCCTTCGCAAATGAATTTCGTGGCCTCCCACTGTGTCTCGAGGGATTCGCAGTTTTGCCAGCACTGTAAGCACAGGAAGAAAGGTTAAGAGATTTTTAAAAAGAATAAAAAAAATAAGGAATAAAGAAAAACAGCAAGTATACTCTACTGGCGGTGGGAATGAGCCGATGAGAGTAGAGAGAGGGCAAGGGGCTCATAAAAAATCGTAGGAGAAGAATGAGTGGAAGGCGAATAAAAACCATCAAGCCGTCTGTTGAATCGAGCGATTTAACCAGGGTCGATGCGTGGTCCACAAGAGTGGAGTAGCATAGAGAGAAGATCCCTTATAGGCCTTATAGCGGCAAGAGGGTTTGGGGACTTGGAATTAGCTCCAACCTGTTCCAGACATATATACCAGGCCACACTCTCGTCGTTGTCTTCGTATTTATTGGGATAATCGCGCGCGCTCCGACTATTCACATTTTTCTTCTTTTATTCTTGAGTTTCTTCTTCATCTTCTTGCGCTTCTTGGCCTTCTTCGTTTTCTTTTGCTTTCTATTCTTTACCTTAATTGTGACCGCCGCTGTCTGCGTTCTTCGTAGAAAATCCGCCGGCTACTCTGCTTGGACCACTAATGATGTTTCTCAAAACGAATCAACTCCATATATATATATATATATTTATACCTATATACCTTGGTCCAGGTTATTCTCATTGCTTCAGCTATGAACAATGCCATAAACCTTTAAATTTTTTAACCAAACTAATCTCATAATCCTTCACGTGGTTTCAGCTTTAGATCTCCAATAATTATTCCACATCAAAAAATGACTTTTATCAACTTTTGAAGAATTTGTATTCTAATCATTTATAACATTCTTCTTTTGTCAATTCTTTGAAGAATAAGTTTCTTTTTTTTTTTTTTTGAAATCAAAGTCAATAAATCCTTCGTTTGTGTATTCGTTTTATCGTGAATTGTTGAAAAAAGGTTTCCGTTAGTTTTTCTGATTGAGACGCGTGAACAATTTCCATCAGACAGACACGTATGGGCGTAGAATTTTTTCGAGCGTACTGATTTATTTACTGTTTGTTTGGCACCCCATGAGGATAAATTTAGAGAAGACAAACTGCATCGTGAGTCGATTAATTTTTTTTTCCTAATCTTACATGACAATCGAGAGAATTGAATTGTTAATAAAGTTGGATTGAAGACCGACTTGTTGGTCATTTAAATATATTCTTTAGGTGCGAGGGATTTTGTTATTTTTATTTTACATTTAATCGTTCCGTCAGTAGGTGTACGCCCTATAAAAATGGTTATTCTAATAGGAAGAAGGGTCGTTTGATGAAACGTCGCGAAGTAGACATACATGGTCTCTCTGAGGCATAAATTTGAATTGATAATGTTGTATATAAAGTGTATAAGTCATCATTCTTATTTTTTTCTTTTCATTTACTTTTTGGTACTTTATTCTTTTTCTTTTATTTTTATCGTTTATGTGTGAGTAGAGCACCAGGCTTTTCGTGCAATCGATTCCCCTGAAATTAATGGACACCCCCATATGTACGTGGTAAATGAGCAATGGCCTTTGGACCTTTGGAAAGGGAGACCTCCCCTTGTGCAATATCCAACGTGCGTGAGATAATCGTGATTCCACATCTGGCTCTCCCTCAATTCGTTCAAATTTACCCCCTAACGTATCACGTGTTCCAGACCACCTTGATGGTTTTTAATAAAAATATTCAATATAAGGGTTAAATATGTTAATAAAAAATCAGGATATATTTATAGTGTTCAGGTGCAGAATCAGGTGAGAGAAACTCAAGAAAACGGATTACTTAATTATCACGGTCTTCTACATAACTCTATTACATAACTACTTCATTGAGCCAACAAATAAACATCTATTGATATGATCTCTAAAGGAAATAATTATTGCTAAATAATTTTTGTTTGAATATAAATGATTCGTTATTAATTGTGACGATGAAGAAATGAAAGAAAATTTAATAAAGTTTTTTTTTTCTGCGAGGCAATTTCATAATGAATGATTTGTCTAATAACACTAAGTTCTTTTAATTAAAATGTATTGGTAAAGACATGTTTGATATATTGTCGATTAGCTTTTAATGTATGTCGTTTCAGTAGAATTCTATGTTGTAATCCGTTTTATATTACTCGAGGCATTATGAGATTTAGATGTCAAGATAATAGAGAGGAAAGTGAAATTAAAGTGAGTAATGACTGATAATAAATAATACACACCTCACTGCAAACTGATTCCCCTCTATTGTAATACCAATCACAGGTACCGTCTGCACTGTGTTTCTTAAGACATTGGATTCTGCACTGAGCAATTCTAATGAGAGGTCCAAGATCAAAAGCTGCAGCAATTCTCATACATGACACAAGAAAAACAAACCACAATAAACGCATTTTGATTTTTTTTTAATTCCACTTATTTTCAATTTTTATGTATATTCACTACACTTTAATGTTGATTATTACAAACCAATGTAACACTTAATTAAAAAAAAAAATTTTATGTTAATAACAATCAGTTGATATGTTAAAGACACCGTGAATAAGAGACTAGAGTTCAGCCCTCGAAAATTTGAGATCAACTGTGACCTTAGTTGTACACGGTCTTTCTTATATATACCACCTCCCTACTCCCAAATTTCGGAGCACTCTCCCCACTAGGTAGACACACACAGCCCGCAGTAACAGACCAAGAGAGAGCATCATCCCTTGTAATTACCTATGGGTTGCTTGACGTCCCTTGGCATATGGCATGGGCCTTCGGGCCACCGCCTTATTTCGCACAAATTGTTTTTCCCGTCGCGAAAAGATGAGTGAGAGGGTGAAGTAAAAAAAGTCAAGAGGATATTCATTTTGTGCCGCTTGCCAACGGTTATAACTAGAAAAAATTAACGCTCTTATATTTTAGCTCATATACCTAGAAAAATAGAATTTTGTTTTTTTGCTTACGTTATTCAAACTGTGTTATACTTTTTTACATTTCAGCTATTTTTATGATACACGAAAAATTGAAACAACTATTTCACATACCTTCCTACACACATCTAATGTAAAACTAAAAAAATTCCATTTACCTAGACAAACAACGAATTCATGAATTTTCTTTTCATTCATTTATTTTTCTAATTAATATGTTAATGAATAAAAAAATTAGTTCCATTAAAATGTACTATTCTGAGAGTTTTTTCTTACATGTAAAAAGAATTTTTTTATTCTTCATGAATTTGATTAATTAAAAAAAATTTTATTTATTAATAGAAAATTTTTTTAAGAATAAATAAGGGTTGAAGATCTTGTTTAGTGTAGTTAATGACTCAAAGAAATGTTTTAAACAAACAATTTTAATGGTTGAGTAATTAAAAATATTTTCTCTTCCCTTGAATGATTATTCTCACTCGAAAACGAATAAGAATAGATATATCACATCTGGTTATCGTAGGTCGTAAAGAAAAACGCTTTTAGAGTGGCATATCATTTTTATCAAGTTTAGAAGCAATTTCGGAAAATGGTAATGGGTTTTAGAGTCTTTTTTATGCATGTACGTCGTTTCAAAAATATTTATTAAGGGTTGTGACACTTAATATAAATTTACAAACAAACTCATAATTTTTAAATAATTACATTTATTCACTGATATATCAAGAAAAAAACTTCAATGATTTTTTTGAGTTTCATAATCAAAACGAAGAAAAAAGTATCAGTGCTCATGGACCAAAGCTTCTCTTTTATCCCATCATTCGTACAAGTAATATATTTGATTTTTCAATTCAATAGACAGGTATACATCCGGACAGTACTTAACAGTTCTCTCTACTGTTCTCGCCGCGCTCCTATAACAAATGTTGAGACGTATCCGGGGTAGGAGTGACACATTTGTGTGGAGAAAAAACATCCTGGATTAAGCTTTATTAATTCTTCCATTGAAAAAAATAGTTTATTGTAAATATATCTATACAAATAACGATATAAAAGACGTTAGCACAAAACATTAACATCTAGATGCACATCACGTATGACGAAATATCGAAAGTCTTTTATTGTTGAATATTTAATATTGGGATCAACTTTTTCCATTTATTATAATCTCGTTTTTAGCATTATAAGATGATTAATTGACACCTTTTGAATTTTTATTGATGGAAGGATTTATTTAACATCAATAAATTTAGTTTTCATATGTAATCGTTAATTTTGCGGATTATAGAACAATAAAAAGATTTTTCCCACGATAAACTTTACTGTATAAGATTCAACAAAGCTTTTTAATAATCAATACATTTTATTTATATTATATGGATTTGTTACTCTTTTAAATACATGTTGCCATTAGTAACATTTAAAAAAATGAATAGAAATTATTAGAAATGAATGATATTTTTAATAGTAATTTCAATTCGAATTTATTATAATTCATTGATACATTTGATTAATTTCTTATCGAATATTCATTTCTAGTTTAAACATCTACAAAATCACATGGGAGGGGAAGAGAAGGTAAAGTGGAATTCGGGGGCAAAGTGAAATGCTGGAAAAAATGTAATAATTTATTAATATAAGTTTAAAAACGCCTATTGCACTTTTTGTTTATTTATTTTTCAATTTATTGATGCATTAAAAATTATTAACATTTGTTAATGTATTAATAAATTTGTTGATTAATGTTTTTCCTTGGTGTATCATTTCACCCCACCTTCCCCTACATTATTCCTTCGAAAAACTATAATAATAAAAATAATGGGCATTTAAAAAAAAATTACATGATATTCAAGAAGAATAATTCTCTTTCTCGTAGCACAAGGGTATGAGGATTTGTTTAAAATTAAAAAAAAGCACCGGTGTCGCGTATCAACTAGACAATATCTGAATGTTCAAGTAAAACGCCCACAAACTTATATGTAGCGAGAAATAATAAGCCCGAAGGAGTGGCCTGAGTCCTGGAGGATAATGAAGAGGAGAATAATAAGAAGACACGAGAGGAAGACATTGAGAAAAGAACCAAACAGGAAGTCTCTTCGTTTACTTCCCACTTTTTTCCTCATCTTCTTCTTGTAAATCTCGAGCAACTCCCGCCCTTAAAAAACCAGCTTAGCCCTTAGTCTGTTTGCTTTACAAAGGACAGGATGTGTACAAATCAGGGTATATATTTGCTCGCTAGATGATTGTAGGGTGAAATATACGCGAGACTAAACGGTCTCTTCCAAACTCTGAGGGCCCACGAACTGAATATAGAAAAACTTGGTGGCCAGTGTAAGGCGTATACCACATATGAAAATATGTAGAAGATGCATTCAGCCATATATAGTTGGTAATGTTTAGGGTAGCGCTCATGCAGAGTTTTCAATGTAGTTAGTGAGCTGACGTTTTATTATACTTATGTCTAGCTCAAACTACCCTTACACCTGGACTAGACGTTTATTGTCATAGTATGGTTTCGGCATCCAGTCAGAACGAAATGTGTAGAACGATTTTTCATATCTATGACGCCATCTTTGGTCTCTATTTTCTAGGATTCTATTTGACCCGACTAATGTCTCTTACTGTGTCACTTTTATATATAATGATATGTTTTCTTACTACTTTTTGACTCTATTTCTCACCAAGTCCCATTCTTGATCTTTTTGAGTGTGAGAAAAGTGTATCAATGAAAGAAATGAAAAATAGTCCACCAAATAAATAATAAATAAGAAATAACTTTAAATAGTTGAGGTTGATTTCTTTATTTTTTTAAATATTACCAGAATATTTATATTGTACTTTTATCATTTTTACACTATAATTATTTTAATTTTTTTTCAGGAAAAAACTCATGTTCCATCTAAAGCGATTATTCCATTAAAAAAATTTCTATTAAAATTTAATGTTTAATTCACGCTTTAAGTGTCTTTTTTACGGATTAAAAAGGAAGATTAGTTAAAAAATAGACTGTTATACTCGCTACTGATGATTTCCTGTGATTTCTCATTGATGGAAGATTTCAAGAAAAATAAAAAAAACATAGAAGGATGTATAATGTCCGCAGAGTATTATTTCCTGCTATTTGTGGGCTCCAGATTTTCCGCTTTGTAGGTGTCCGGGGGAAATGCTTCGTTCTATTTCTGTTAATCTTTTTCGTTGCTTGGCAAGAGGTGAAAATGAAATCTAGTCTTGGTATGTTTTTGTACGATCTATAATCTTACTTTCACGTTGTTAGAGATTATCCCTTATTTTTCATTTTCCCATTAGCGCATATGATATCAGATCCATTTTTGTATAATGATACAAAAGGAAACACTCATAAGTATATGTATTTGAACATTCATACATATCTTTGCTGTTTATCATGAAACTGTTTGCTGAGGGGATTAGGCGATGTGCTTGCAGATGCTGCTTTGATATGAGTTATCAGATAAATGGTCTAATAAATGGTTAGATAACTGTGTTAGCAAAATTAACTAAAAAAGTTAGACTTGAGTAAACTTTTTTTTTCATTAAAAGAAAAAGATATTTATGATTGTTTGGGGGGTTTGTTTTCTTTTGGAGTTTTTCTAATTTATTGAATTCCAAATTATGTCCAAGGGAGATAATCAAACACGGCTTATGATACAAAAGTAGGAACATAAATAAATTTTCTTTTTAAGTTTTTTTAAATTTTTATTAATTAGGAAAACAAGTTTTTTCTTTTTTAATTTACTGCTACTTTTTAATGATAATTTATTGTCTTTTTAATTTTTAGTACGATAAAAGAAAATAAATGATAATTAAAATATTTTTATTCTTAAGCATAAATACATGAAATTACTAAAATATTTTTTATTGATAGATTGAAAATATTTTTTTATTTACTATAAATTGTGATATTTTAATGTATAAAGAATTTTTTTGAACATTAAGAATTCTAGAGATATTCTGAGAGTTTTATTTTTTCTCAGAATGAACGGATATGGATGAGCCAGGACGAATTTTAAAGCTTGTTTTTCCTACTTTAAAAAACGTCACGTCAAAAATTTTTCTAACTCTTACAATTCAACAATAAATTGACGAGAACAGTTGCTGACAAAATGTCTTATTCTTGATGAAATTTAAACTTGTTAGAGAAGTTTCTGCTAGCTTTGAAAATTTTTTTCACACAAATCAAGTGAATAACATAAAAGCTTTGTTTTTTTTTCTAATTTTTCTGTAAGTATTCTGTACTAATTAACAAAAGTTTTGAAACATTTCATTTTTTACTTTTATTGTGTGTCTTTCTCAATGTCACCTTAGTGCTTAAATCCTTGTTTTCTTTTTTAGCTTGTTAAATCATTCTTGCCATTGGTAATAAACTTCATCAAAAGTTCTTAACATTTATTAGAAGAAAAGAATTTTTGTAAAAATAAGGTGATGGTTATAAGGATTATACTTTTCATCGTTAAGCGAGCTAGAAAATGAGATGTGGCTCGATATAGTATCTGAGAATTCCAGAATAAAGATTAGTGTCGCAAAAGCAACCCTAGATTATCCGGAGAGAAAGATCGCACCTTCACTTCTAGCGACCAAGTGTGAAAGAAATAAAGCGAGCGAGAAAAGTGAAAAATTTTAAAATCTCTGGGCGGT